ATTATTCGAAATCGGACTATATTTTTAATAAAAGGAATTTAATGCAATAAATATTTAAATATTAAATATTTTTGTATTTATTATTTCCATTTGTTAATAATATTTTTATTAAAACATTAAAAAATGCTTATAAAATATATTTGATAATTAAAAATAACATTTATTCATTTTATATCATTAATATTTTAAAGGTTATATAATTAATATTTAATTTTTAAAATATTAAACATCAAACCTTTTCTTTTTAAAATTTCATAAATCATAACTTAAAATATATTCTAAAATTAAATATTTTATGCTTTATAATGTTATAATAAACAAAAATATGTTATTTAAAATTTATTTATTAATTTTTACTAAAAAAAACTATTTATATCATATGAACATAAATTTTATATTTTTAAAAATGTATATATTACATATATTTGAGTAATCATCATTATTCATTTTCAATATTAATATTTTAATAAGGTAAACTATAATATTTATCTTCTAGAAAAACCTTAACTTTATTCAAAATAAATATCCACAATTAATTATTAAAAAAGAACAAGATAATTGCCAAAAAAAATCCATAAAATTTATCAAAATAAGGTGGATTATCAAAAATAACCTAAATAAAATATTTTTAATCAATAACAGGAACAAACTAAATCCCATTATTATACGCTTTTACTTAATTACCATAAAAACTAATATAACAATCTTAAAACTTCTAAAAAATATCTAATTAATCATTAATACAATACCAACTTGGGAGTTTGACTTCTGAAAAATTATATTTTTTTAAGCATTGATTAAGATTATTATTTTCACGAAGATATCTTTAATTTTTTATTTAAAAAAACTCTTAAGTAGTAAACTAATCAGGTCCACAATAATACTCATCATATTTAAAATAATATTTATAAGCACTTATATTACCTTAATTTTTATATTTTATATTCGATTAACATCCATAACCTAAAAATTATTAGTTTTAATATGTAAATTCAACTTCTAAAAGTGAATATCTTTCGTTTCCATTTAAACCAGATTTCTATTGACCTCTTATTTGGCAGTTTTTGGCTTTTTAAAATGAATATTGAAATGTTGGATGAAAGTATTTAATATAAATAAATATTAGTATCAAAAATTATATTATTAATGAAATTTTAAAAATTTTCGACTAATTATATCTTTTTTAAAATATATTTATTATTAAAGATTGGATTATAGATATTGGATATATTTTAAGTAAATATATAAATTATTAAGCTATTAATAAGTATAAAAATAAGTATATTATAAAGTTTATCATTCCATTTATTATAATTATATGAAAATTTTTAAATTAATAAAAAGTTTTCATTATATTTTTTTTTGATTAAATGCTTATTTTTTTTAATTTTATTTTTCAAATAAAAAAAATAAGATTTTTTTTATATTTTTTTAGATTAAAAAAAGAAAAGAAAAATAGATTACTTTTAAATTATTTTTTACTTATAATTATACATATAATTTAATAAATATATAAAAAATATAAAATTTTAACTTCAGAAAAAAACACATAAAAATACAATTAAAAAAATGAATAAACAAAAAGTAACTTTTAAAATCACTTTATCTTCAGATCCAAATCTTCCCTTTAGAACGTATAATTTTATTTTACGAAAATTATAATAATAAAATGATATGATTTAGTATTTAAATAAAAATAGAATTAGTGTACCAGAAGAAGCTCCATTTACTGCATGCGTAAAATATGTTTGCGAATAAGTATTAATAATCATTTATAACTATCTTATATTTAAATTAAAAAATAAATTAAATTTATATAGTTTAAAGTAAATCATGCTACTTCAGCAGTAATTACTAATAATGGTGTTGGAATAAATCCTGAATAATCAGCAGGTATTGTTTTAATTAATATAATAAATAAATTTAAAAAGGTAATGTATTCTTAAAACATGGAAGTGAATTAAAATTAATTCCAAGAGATAGAGTTGGCTAATAATGATAAATATAATTTTTTGTTTTTTATTAATATGTATTTAGTTAGAATAAAATTATATAAAATAAAAAAAAATGAAAAAAAAAATTTTTAAATGTATATATATATTTTTTTCAAAATATACTAAAAATAAGATAAATAATGTATATAAAATATAATTTTTATATGAAAATAACAAACATAAAAAAATGTATTATTTCTTCTTTTTTTTATTTTCTAAAAAAAAATAAAAAAAATTAATAATTAAATAAATATAAAAATATATATATACTATTTTCACTTATCAATAATTTCCTATATATATTTTCTAGTTATAACATTACTACCTTCAAAAATTTAGTTTCCAATTAATTAATAAACTTTCTAGACTAAACTTTGACATTATGTTTTTAATTCAGGTAGATTTTCATCAATTAATTTATAAATTACACTATTAATTTATTTAACGAAAATATTGTTTCCTTTTTTTCTATATGTTTCATCAACACAATCTATTTTCATTATTATTTTTTTTAAATAAAAAAAGAATATTTTAATACTTTATAAAGATTTTATTATATTTAGTCTTGCACGAGCTGGTCCATAATTAGCTCCATTACACAAATAAGGGAATAAAATATAAGAGTCAAATGTTTATGTAAACGCTTAAAATAATTATTCCCCTTATCCTTTAACACCACTATTTGAAGATCCGATACATTATAATATACTATTAAGAATTGTTGTCATATTGCTTTCAATACCTTCCTTTTTAATATATATATTTATATAAATAAAAATAAAATAAAAGTTAAAATAAAATTAAAAATTATATATATTTTAATAAAAAACCTTAATTTATTATAAAATAGTTGAGAAAGAACTTAAAGCAAAAAGTTAAACTTTGGTATTAGCATCATTAATAAAAGCTGCAAAATAATCAAAAAATTTAACACTATGTTTATGTTTAATAACAGTTTCAGAATTATTAGATGCGAATTCAGATAATTTTTATAAAAATTCAATTTTTAATTTCCAATCTAATAAAAATATAGAAATTTAAAATATATATGTATATAAATATTATATAATATATATATATATATATATATATTTATATTATTTTTTTTACTATTATTATCAGTTTAATTAATTTATTAAAGTAAATTTTCAAATTCGTTTCCCTCTTTTAGTTTAATAGTTTTCTAATTATTTTTGTTTTTTCCATTTTCCTCATTTTCTCCCGGTTGATTACTATTTTTCTGTTTTAAGCTTCCTAAAATAAGCAAAGGTTCACTTTTCTCTAAATTTTTTTCTACAAAGTTTTTAATTTTACCATATAATGAATCAGGTAGTATCCTTTGTAAAATTTTATCTACTTCCGAATAATTAAGTATATTGTTTAATAATAAAAGCAAAGATTCTTTTGAAATAGTTCTTACTTCAACAGCTTGATCAACAGTATAATTACATAAAACAACTAATAATTTATCTACATCTTTAATTTATAAAAATTTGTTTTAACTTTTCTCTATTAAAGTATGCATAATAACACCCACATTAATTTTTACTGATATAGATTTACTTTAATATTTACTTAAAATTATTGAACTAATTTTATTTTCAGAGCAATTCATAGTTATTTAAATTAAAGCATTCTTTACTTCTTCAGAAATAAAGGTATTTGAATCGCTACCTTTTTTTAATAATTTTTAAACTATTAAATCACCTTCAGGATCTAAACTGCCCTTTTTTAATTTTTCGCTTAATTCAATCAATGTTATCATAGCATTTTTCGATAAACTACTCCTTAAACTTTCTATGTTTTTGAGAATTTCTTAAGTTATAGTATGTAAAGTTACTGGATTTTGAATTAATTCTACATGATGTTATATAATTCGACGTAAATTATTCAAACTTTCGAATTAACGAGACCAATCGTCCGTTTTTAAATCATTTAGTGTTTATTTTAAACATTATTCAGCTTAATTTACTGGTTATAAGTCTTATTTTTGTATATAGATTTGCTATTTTGAGTCTTGGATACTTGATGTGTATTAGTTTTCGGTATTTAAATTCTTGTTTTAGTTATTTTATTTTTTATATATATTTTTTACTTTTTTTTTTAATTTAAAATTCGGTTTAATTTATTAATCTTCAATAGCTTCATCTATTTCCTTTTTTTTTAATTTTTAATTTTTTTTTTTATTATTATTTTTATATTTTTAACTTAGTTTAGTATATTCGGAGTTTCTGTTGAGGTTTTAAATTAAGTTTTTTTTCTATTTTTTTATTTTAAATATTTATTTTAGTTAGGAGAATTTTCATTTGGATCTTCGTTTATAACAAGTGAGTTTTTACATAAATATTCTTTAGATTATATAATTAGTTTATTATCATTATTATTACTATTTTAACAGTTATAAATATTATTAGAATTAAAAATTAAATTATTATTTAAATCTTTTTAATCATGTATATTATTTTATTATAAATTATTATCATTATTAGACATCCTTTTATTTTTTTTTATACATTAAGGTTTATATTAATAAGTATTATTTTCAACTTATGGTTCTTCTTTAGTATTTCCTTTATAAAGGTTTAAAGGAGGTTAAAATTCTTTATTTTTAATAGCTATTTTTCCTTATAAGGAATTATTATTAGATTTGTTCTTATTATTTGTATTTAAATTGCTCTCTATTTATTAATCAAATACATTTAAATCAAATTCCTCGAGTTTAGTTTTTTTTTTTAAATATTTTATTAATTTTTTTAATCTATTTCAGTATTACTTATAAATGCAGAATATGTACTTGAATCATCATAACTATTTAAGTTTTTATTAAATAAATTATTTTCTAAATTTTAATACTAATATTATATTTATTATTATTATTATTATTATTATTATTATTATTATTATTATTATTATTATTATTATTATTATATTGCTACTCCTCCACTTCTTATATTTTATCTTGATAATTTTAATTATTCAATTCCAGATAATTATTAATGTATTTTATTATTTTATTACTAACCTGTAGTAGATGTAAGAATAGAAGTCTAAGATACATCAAAAACTGTATTTTTTATTTAAAATAAAGTATTAGATGAAGTGTTCATAGTATTAATAGTTCTTTGTGAATATCTAGAATCATTATTTTATTCGATATTTTTAATTTAATTTCCTCCTTATTGGAAATGTTCCTGTTATTAATAATTATTATTTTATTTTATTATTTATTAGTCATTATTACTATTTATATATTCATTCTAACGTATAATAGGAGAAATAGAAAAAATATTACCATAAGAATACTCTGTATTTATTTTATTATTAAAAATTTCTTCTTTTGAATACAACCTTGCATTTTCCGGGGTATGTACCTTAATTATACTATTTTTTAAAGAGCTAATTTACGATTAAGCATCACAATTATTTTATAATTAAATTGCATTAGTTATATGAGTAAAAGTATTATTTTCATCATTATTATTATTTTTGATACTTTAATTAGAGTAAAGTGAACTTTGGTTTGATTATTCATTTAGGATTTCTAAATGCTTTTATTATAGTTTATCTAGAAACATCTCATAATATACTTTATTTAATAAACCTGAAAGAATTTTTTTGCAAATCTCTTTATTTGTTTTTAAAGATACAGTTACTAAACATTCAACACTTTTTATTTTTATTTTAGTCTTTACATCTTCTAATAAAGGAGATACTTCCTTTAATACTTTTTCCCAATTATATATTATCATGTTAGGATATTACATGTATAATTATGTTATTAAATTTAAAATTTCCTCCTTTGCATTCTAGTTCTTGTTTTTAATCCTGTTAGGCATTAATCTAGCCATTTATGTTAACCAATTGACTTTTTTAATATATTTTATAAAAAAATATATACAAAAATAATATATATATTTATATATATATATATATATATATATATTATATATATATATAAACATATATATTTTTTTTTTATTATTATTATTTATATAATATGTTTTTTTTTTTACTTTTATATGTTCCCTTATTGTTTTCGAGACTATAGAACGGATTGCAACCTTAGAATCTGATAGTTTATTTACTAGCTAAGAAATTAAAGTATCTAAAATTTCAGATTTATTAAAATTATCATATTTTGATAGTTTATGTATTATTTGTAGTGAAGTTAAACTTATTTTAAAGTTACTATCATCTGTTAAATTTAATATTATTTTTAAGAACTCGTCTAAATTATTTTTTAATTATTCAAAACTTTGATTTGATTCTTCTAATTAATTATTTATTTCTTCTACTGCAGTTGCTCTAGACTTTTTTTTTAATTTTTTATTGTTTTTATTTTTATTTTTTTATTTTTACACGCCAATCTTTTTCATCTTTTAAATTATCAAAAGTTTTTTTATAAATAAAACCAAAAACTAATTACTAATTATTTTATTTATTTTCTGTATTTAATGTATTATTCAAAGGATTTTAATTATTATTATTATTATTTTATTTTATAATTTATAAATTATCAGAGCTAATTTTTTCAACTTTTAAAATATTTGAAGGTAAACTAAAAGATTATGTTAATGATATTTCAATAAAAGATTATTTATTATATTCAGGAAGCTCAAAATTCTAAGGAAGTGTGCCTATTAGCTTTTAAGATTCTACAAAATTACCTAACTTTTCAAGATATTCATTATTTAATTTTTTAAGTACAATAAGTTTGAAACTTTCCATTTTTAAAAGAGATATTATTGCCTTAATTTTTTTTTTTTTTTTTCTGTGTATAATTTTTTTATTTTACTTATTCACTTGCTTTTTGAACATTTACATTTCCTTCTTGTATATAAGATACTAAAATTTAAGTTAAATATAAAAAATCATCAGAATTCCAATCAAAATATTTATTTTCTAATAAAGAAATACTTTAAAATGAGTTTATAGATTTTTATCTTATAATCCACTTTTTTATTTGTTATGAATTAAATTTTTAATATATATATTTATATATATATATATATATATATTTTACAGATTCATTTTAAAATCCTGTTTTTAAGAATATTTTAATTATAATATCTGCATTTTTATATGCTCTTATATATTTAAGCAATAAAGAATGTGCTTATTTTCTAACATTTTACTATTATATTTTATTATTTTTATATATTTTATTTTTTTAAGAAAAAAGTTTTATTTAAATAAAATAATAACAAAATATAAGAAAATTTTTAAATTATATTCAATTATTATATATATTTATATTAATATATATTTATTTATAATATTAATTTTTTTACTTGAGTGTCTCCTAAATTTATAAGAATCAAAGAAATATCATTTCCTATAAGAATTTCAGTTTCCATAGGAAATAATTTAAGCATTAAATCATAGAAGATTAAAATATTAAAAATTAAATCAGATTATTATTCGTTTCCTGTAGAGTTTCTTAATATATTAGAACATATTTATTGTATTTATTTTAAATAAAAATTAAATCCTTAATGATCTTATTATATATACATATTTATTTTTATTATTGCATCAAATTAATCATTAAAAGAATAACTTCCTAATTACTTTATTATTTATTCTAATTCTTAATTTTGATTTCTTTATTATTTTAATTTATATATTTTATAATTAATATATATATATATATATTTATATATATATATATATTTATATTTATATAATGTATATTTTTTTATTTATATATCATTCAATTTTTATTTAGTACTAATTTTTTTAAGGAGAAGTCATTATATGGATATTTATTTTGTTTATTTTATTTTAAGTACTTTTTTTTTATAAAAAAATATATATTTATTTTTTTGATAATGTTAATGTTTATATTTCTTATATATTTTTTAATAAAAAATTAAATAATTAAATTTCCGTTTATATAAATAAAGAAATATATATACATATGTATTTTTATTAAATATCAAATAATTTTTTTTTTTTAATAACTTAAAAAAATAAAATATTTTTCTATTAATTTTATTATTAATATTAATTTTTTATAATATATATATTTTAAATTTTATTTTATTTTCTTTTGTTTTTTTTTTTACATATTATAATAAAAATAAAGTTACTTTTATAAAAAAAAAATCCACAAATATATTTAAAAATAAAAAAACAAAAATACAATTTAAAATAATATTTAAAATTCTTATAATTTATTTTTAAATTTATATTAAAATAAAAGTAGATAAATATTATATCACTAAAAAATACCATATAATATATTCTAATAGATATTATCTACAATTATTTTAATTTCCTATTCTTTTTCTGTTAGAATAAATTCATAATCATCGTTAATTTATTATTAATTATTTAATACTGGTAATAATTATTTAATATTATTGAAATTATTTTATATTAACTCTTTTAAACTTTATAAAGTTTTTACATTGTTTTAATTCTCTTCTTATTATTTTTTTAAATTTATAATTTTTTCTTAAATTTCCTTACTTATTAATTCTTAAGAATATTTTTCTTAAATATCCAATTAGCTTAATATGAATTAAAAATTCTTTTAAAAAAAATTAATTTTAGTTTCATAATTTTATTATAAGTTTAAAAACTATTCTTCATTATTTTGATTATTATTTTCATTCATTTAATCATTTTTTTATAATATAACTAACTAATTATTATTTTCTTAAATTTAAAATTTTAAAAACTATTCATTTATTTAAATTTACTCGATTTTATTTATTAATCCAATTTTTTCGAAATTTAACTTTTCTATAATTTATTTCATATTTTAAATTTAAAAACTCAACTATTCATTTTCTTTAAAAGCCTTTTCTTTTAAATTTTGAATTTAATTATTTTCTAATTATACCAAATTTATGAAGGCACTATATTTTTTTTATTAAATCAAATTAATTTATAAATGAACTTCATAAAAATTAATTCTCTTTTCCGAATCTTATTATAGCATATCGTTAACTATTAGCTTAATTGAAAAGCTAAATTTTTTTCAAAAAACCATTAAGAAACTTTTGAAATTTTCTTAAATCTTCTTAAAGTCGAAATTTAAAATATTTTTTATTACATCATTTTTATCTATGCCATTAAAAAATTTCTTTCCAGTTAATAACTCTAATAAAATGCATCCCAAAGCCCATATATCAATCTTTTTATTATATTTATTATCAATTTTTTCAACCATTTCAGGAGCCATATAACATACAGTTCCTATTTTTGACTATTTTATTTATAAAAAAAATAAGAATTTTTATTAACATATTTATATATATTTTTTTTATTCTAAAAAAAAAATACTTATGTTTATTCAGATTATTTTCCAATTCCGAAATCTCCCAATTTTAGGATTATTTAATTAGTTTAATTTTTAGTAACAAATATGTTCTGAGGTTTCAAATCTCTATGAATTATATTTAACTTATCTAATGTAAAATATCCATTTAATATTTAAGAAATAAAATTTAAAGAAATATCAGGGTCAAATTTCTTTTGGGTTTTTAAAAGATCATATAAATTACCAAATTCACAATATTCCATTATTATGTAAGATATGTTTTATTATTCGATTATTTCATATATTTTAACTAAATTAGGATTTATTAATCTTTTAATTATCGGCATATTGAAAGTTCAGACAAATAATAGTCATTTATATTTTCATTAATATCATAATACTTTAATATTTTTATTGCAGCAATTTTATCCTCATATTTTCCCAAAAATACTTGGGCAAAACCTCCTTTTCCAATAATCTCATTCTCTTAATATGATGATTTTTCACTAATTTTTATTTACATATTGATTATTTTTTTATATATATAAATTTAACAAATTATTATTATTTTATAAATATATAAAAAATTAGTGTTCTATATTTATTAATTATAGTTTTTCTTAATAATGAAAATTTATTTTAAAATTTTTAATAAAATCCTGAATTTTGTTGAACATTTTTTTTATTTACAATATTATTAAATATTCAAATAATTTATATAAAAATATACAAATTAATAAAAAAAATTATAAACATAAAAAAAATATTGTAATATTTTATAAATTTATAATTGATTAATATATATATTTATTTTAAAAAGTTTTTTAATTATAGTTTACTAATTCATTTTTTAAGAAATAATGTTAATATATGTAAATGTAGGTTATAAATAAAAAAAAAAAATAATTAAAAAATAAATAATAAAAATAAAAATTGAAATTTGTAAAATAAATTGTTAAATGTAAATATAATATTATGAAAAATATATATAATAATAATAAAAATATATTAGTACGAAAAATATAATTAAATATTATATAATATATATATATTTATTTAAAATAAAAAAAAAAAAAAAAAAAATTAACAAAAATAGAATAAAAAAATAATTGATTAAATAAAAAAATTTAAAATCTAAAAATAATAAATATATATATATATTAAATATATATAATTATTTAGTAAATAAATAAAAAGTTAAATTCAAGTAATATAAAAATATAAATAAAAAAATATATAAAAATATATATAAAAATATATATATATATATATATATCTTTATTTTTTATATATATATTTATTTTTTTATTTTTCAATAATTAATATTTATATTTTTTTTTAAATTTTTATATATATAATTTTTTTTTATTATATGTATTATTTTTTTTTTATAATATTTTTATTTTAATATATTTATATATATGTTATATGTATTTTTTATAAATATTTAATAATTATCTTTTTATTTTAATTTTTATATTAATTTCATTTTTTTTTTAATTAAATTATATTTTTTGTTTAAATTAAATGAATTTATTTTTTATATTTATAATATATATTATATTTGCATTTTTATCTTTTAATTTATTTTTTAATATATTTATATAAATCTTATTTTATTTAATTAAAATTTATATTTATTATTATTTTTTTATTATAATTATAATTTTTTATAGATACAAAAATTCTTATTTTTGTTAATTTTATATACTTTTTTATATTCAATCTTATTTATCATTTTATTTTTGTAAGTTTTTCTATAATTCTTCTTATATTGATCTTTATATAGGGATAAAATTTATATTATTTTCTTGAATTTATTCTTTTATATAACTCTCTAAACCATCACATTCGTTATTATTTTTATTACTGACATAAATAATATAATATAACATATTATAAATATTATGTTCACAACATATATGATGATGCCATCCTTTTTTATTATAAGCATCAATATGAGCTCTAGTTTACCCCTTTTTTAATTTTTTTGTTAATCAAATAAAATTTTTTTTTAAATAAAAATAATATACACAAATAAAACAAATTTCATTAATTAAACTAAGTAAATTTTATCTTTCATTTCTTAATGAACCAAAAGTGTCAAGTATTATACCTTTTAAAGTGTTAACAAAAACAAATATTGATATATATATATATATATAATTACCAAAAATAATTTAAATAAAAAGCATATTAATAATAACAAAAAAGGTTAAATCATAAAAATATCTTGGCCACAAAAGATTTTTTGGATCATTTTTTGTATCTACAAACTTTAAGGAATCAGCAATACCTCCTCCATTTCTTAACCCTTCTTTAATAGTAGAAGTAATAGTAAACATAAAAATTGACGCATCCGCCCCTTTTTCTTGATCAAAATATTCACTAAAATACGTAAACCCTAAAATAGCATAAGTATAGATGATAATTACTCCCAGAAATGCAAATTAAAGTAAATTATAGGCATTAGTAGTAATCGAAGAAATTACATTTTACAAATCTTCACTTTTTTTAATAATATCAAGAAGTAAAAATCCATAAATCATCGCATGTTCACTCAATGTAACTGCGAATACTGTCAACAGGAAATATATGCAATTATATATATTTTCAAAATCCAATGAAATTAAAATAAATCTTACCAAATAGTTATTTTTGGCATTTTCTGGAGTTAACTATCTCTAAAATATATTCATAAATCGTGAATAGTAATTCAATATATTTTTCTTTTGAAATCCTGAAATTTAACGAATGTTCTAAATATTCTAAAAATTTTAACTTTATACAAACAAATGAATTGAAATTGGATATCTTTCAATTGCACAACATACAACAACAATGAAACTTATTATTAATTAAGAAATAGAAAATAATAAGTTTATTGAATTGTCCCATACTAAATTTGCTTAGTCATTTTCTTCTTGATGTTGTTATTTTACCATGGTTATTATAGTAATTAATATAACTAATATATATGATAAATCTTTAAAAAATCGCCAATTATTAGCTAATATAGATATTAAAGGCTTTTTTATTTTAATTATATTTATTATAAATAAGTTTTTTTTTTCATACATAGTTTTTTGTTATTTCTTATTTTCTATTCATTTACGAGTAATAGAATTTTGAATTTATTAATAAATATTTAACTCTGTCTTAGTCATTATCTCTATCGGCTTTAAATATCTTTTTTTTTTTTAACAAAAATAGAATAAATTAAAATTTTTAGTTTGTTTTTATTTTAATTACTAAATGTTCTTATATATTTGGTGTCATAAATAAACAAGAGAAAGGCTTTTTGAAATAAACATTAGTTAATTCTTCATTTTATTATAAAACTTCAATTTTGCCAGTAAATCTATTATAAAACTTATAAAATTCATCAGTTTTATAAAAATAATTTTTCTTATATACACCTATAACATCTAAATAAATAATATATATATATATATATATTTTATAAAATAATATATATAATAAAAAAAAAAAACCAAAGACTTATTTCAATATCTATGAAATGTTAAAAAAGGAGGATTTTTTGAAATTTTTTTAATTATTTTATGTTTCAATTTATTATTTTTCTTTAAAAGCATTTCTTTTTTTCTAAGCTTCATAATTATTAATATTTTTTAATATATGTAGAATATTAGAATTTTTTTATTTTTTAAATTATTAATCTTAATTTTTTCTACTTTCGGGAACCTAATTATATTAAATATCATCTTCTTTTTTATACTATTAATGATTTTTTTCTTCATCATTGACTTCATCTTCTTCATTATCAGGCAAAAAAAGGTACAATTTTTCTTTTTCTTCAGGAAAATAATCTTTTAAATAATTAAAAAGGATAAAAATAGTAAACCCAATTTCAATCTTGAGGCAATCTAAGCTTGTACAAAATTTATTTTCACAAAAGCTAATAGTACACTTTTTTTTTTTCGTAAAATTCATACAAATTTCACATGCTCGCAATTACGCTCTAACAAAACGTTTTTCTTTTAAGGTTTTATTACATTTTCGTATATATTCTTACTTATTTTTATCAATTCTATGCAATTAATTTACTCTAAAATATATTTAAGAGCCTCTTTATCAGTATTCCCGACTATTACAGCTAGTAAAACTTAATAGAACTAGAAAAAAGTTGCAAGTTTTATTAAACTTACATTTCACCAATTTTTTTAATTTAAATATGTTACCCAACTAATTTACCAATGTCAGAAAGAATTATTTTCTCATTTATTTAGGCAAATAACGCCCTATTTTAGCCTATTATATATATAAATAAAAATAAAAAATATATATATTTATACATATTTATATATATATATATATTATCTTTTTATATACATGTTGTTCTTTAATTTTATTTATCTCCACTACAGAAATCTCTAATAGTTTCGAAACATTACATTATAATAATTGATTTTTTTTCTATTTGAATTATTTCATCCTCTAAAAAAAGAGATAAAAAAGTGGAAACTTCGTAAACTACATTCAAATTTAATTACTTCAAATAAGATTCTTATGACCTTAGTAGTTTTTGAAAATATGTGTTTACATTTTCGCATAGAAGTTACAAAAGCTTTAAAATTCTTTCAGTTAAAATTTCATATTGAGATATAATTTCGTCATCTTAATTTGCTTTTTAAATTTTTTTTTCTTATAAAATTCCTTTAATTTCAGATGTTATATCTTTAGCAAAAAAATATCTTAAAAAAACAATAAACTAATTCAAATAAAGTGTATTTTGCTCCATTTATTCTTTAATTTTATTCTAAGCATAAGTATTTCCTCTATCTAAAATTTAAATAAGAAGCTAAATACCTTCCGTAACTTTATCAAATGAATTATCCTAATGTATAAGTAAAAAAGCATTCAAAAAAAGTTATTAATCACAAACATTATTTTAATATTTTTTATAATTTGCATGTTTTTCTTCAATAGTATTTTTTTCAATATCTTCATCATTAAATAATTTATTAACATCATCATCACTTAATTATTTTATTTCAAGAATTATTCTCACAAACTTAACCATATAGAAATCTTCTTTATTAAAAACAGTTTTTATTCTATTCAAAAATACATCTAAGTTATCATAAATTAAGAAATCATCCATAAAATCCTTTACCATTAATGTTATTTCATAATCAATTATGCACTTTTAATAATCAGAATATAATATATGATAATATTCATCCTCTTAATTCATTAAATGAATTCGTAGCTTTTTTAAACGAATTTCAACTTATTCTTTTAATTCATTTTCAAATTTTTTTTTTATTTTTTCAAGTTTTTATTCGTTTTTTTAACTTTTGTTTTCCTTTTTATCATTTTACCTTTCCTATTGCTTATTTATTTTTTAACCGTAATATAACTCAAATTCTTTTTCGAAAATTTATATATTTTCTTTATTTTAACAGCTTATTTTCTCAAATAATAACACTTCGTCTTATTTTTCTATAAAAAGTTCCAAAATTAATTCCTATATTTTTAATTTAGAAACAAAGGCCTTATTACAATTCAAGTATCTATATAATAATGACTATATGTCTTGATCATTATATTCATTTTTATTCAAAATTTCTATAAATTCACTCAAACAAATCCTGTTTCTTAACAAAACAAGTTTAATTGTGCTTTTTAAATCTAAAGAACTTTTTATAAATAAATCTTATGATTCTTATTCTTCACTATTTTATTTCAAAAGTTCATATTTTAATTCATTTTTGGTTTATATAGAAGATTTTAGGATATATTAAATATCATTAAGTATATATAAATATCTATCTAAATCAGTAAAATGTGTAAAATCACCTAAATCTTCTTTTACTTTTTATAAAAGATTAATCATTGGGTTTAATAATTTATATGTTTTTTAATATATTTCATATAAAGGTTTGAAAACATAATCACTTTTAACATTAATATGTTGATTATCTTAATCAAATTAGCACATGTATTCTGAAAAAATATCAATTATAAAATGAATTATACTATCATTAAATAAATAGCCCCAAAATTCATTTTTAGATTTCAATAAACAATTTGGTTTGTTTTTTAAAAACTATTTTATTTTTTTAGAGATTTGTTAATTTTTTTAATTAATTTTTTTTATTTTTACTTTAACAAAATATAATTTATCTTCTTTTGTAGCAAGATTTTTATATTTTTCTTTATTTTTTTCAATTATTTGTGAAAATATGATTTTTTATTAATTATCTTTTTTATAAATTAATAAACCTTCTAGGTATTAAATTAAATTATTTATATTTAAAGCTGGAATTACTTATTAATTAAAAATTATTATTAAATCTTACATATCAGCATTTTCTTTTAAGAACTCGTTATTATAAATGAAATTCTTTATTATTAATTTTTTATATATATTAAAAAAATAAAAAATAATACATAATTAAAATAAATTTCGAATAAAGATCTAATATAAACTTTTCTTATTTTATAAGGAATATAATCACTTTTAATCACTTTATTTAATTCTCCGTATAAAATTACCCTTTGAACTTCTTAAATACCTAAACTATTATCTCTACAACATTCAATTAAAAGTTTCAAACCTATTTTTATTTTTAAATAAATATAGATAATATAAATATTTATTAACCATTTATATGTAGTTTAGTTTACAAATAATTTTTAGTGTGTTAGAAATATTTGTTTCCAAAATCATTTAAATATTATTCATTTATAGGTTTTATAATATCAATCATTAGTTTATTTTGTAAAATAAAATTAAGTATTTTTGATTAGGTCCCCTTTATACGTATTTAATCGTTCTGTTTTGTTAATTTTTTTAATATTTTGAAATATTAAATCAATGCTTAGGCTTTATTCACATCTACTCCAACTTTATAAATTTTCTTTTTTTATGAATTTTAAAATAATTAACTATTATAATAAAATTATTATTCTTGAAAAGGATTATTTTATTATATTGCTTATATTATTATATCTAATTTATCACAAATTAAATTTGGTTTATCTTTTATTTCACTGAATATATTATATATCAATTAATTGACCTTTTTTATATTTAAATTTTATTTTATTTTTAATTATTTACTTTCAAAGGTTTATTAAATAATTTCTATTATTCTTAAAGATTTTTATAAGGTATTAAAGGTAATCTAAGTATATATTTTAAATAATCATTTACTTTTTCTAAATTAAGTTTATTATTTTCAATAAAATAATTTAAAAAAATAACTACTTTCTTAAAAAAATAAAAATTAAAAAATTAAAAAATATTTATTAAAACCTTAAAAAATCCTAAAAAACTATTGTCGCTTATATCACAAATTTCAAGTAAATCTAAAATATAAATATAAATATTCGAGTTTCTAATAACATTTCCTAACTGAATTTTATAATAATCTGAATTTTCTTATTTTTCGACATTCTCATATAAAAAAATGATAGAATCTAAACTCTATTCGAATTATTTAAAAGAATAGTTTAATGTTTTGAATTTCTTATCATTCATTTTATTCAAACCTTCAACATAATCGATTTTAAAACTAATATATTCTTAAGTTTATTTAGCTAACATTTTGAATTCTTTTGGACTTTTAAACTAATTATCATCCGAAATTCCATAAATTTTCAAATAAAATGATTATTCAGTTTCATCTTCTATAATTTGAATTTATTCAATTTGTTTTTTTAATAAATAAACTTAATTGATATTTGAAATTAAAATATTAAACATTTCTACTTGTAAATTAGGATTTTAGCATTCTAATTCTAAAAATTTATATATAATAGTAGAAATATTAAAATTTTTTTTATCGTTTAATATTGATTCTTAAATATCATCATATATACCAAATTTAAAAGTTTTTAAATCTAAGCTTTATTATAAATTATTTTTTATATAAGAAATAGACTTAAAGAAATTGCGAATTCTAAAAAAAATATTGATTATTTAAGCTACTTCTATATATATCTTTTTTTTTTTTATTATTACTATTATTATTATTATTTTACTTTAGTTATTATTTATTATATTTAAGATGATTAACTTTATTTTTTGAAAATTTAGGATATGAAATAAAATGTCCAATTAGAATTTATATTATACTGTTCAAATATATCTTTCGAGCTTTTTTATAATTTATTTTATTAAGAATCATAGTCATAGAAATATATATAGGCTAATAATAAACAAGGAATCTAAGATTAAAAATTATAATAGATAATACATATATATATATATATATATATATATATATATATATATATATATATATATATATATATATATATATATATATATATATACAGTTCTAAAAATTTATATATTTTATTAATAATTATTATATCCCAAATTCATTCTCTATTTGACAATATTTAATTCTGATAAAAAAGAATTCAACTTTTCTTAAAATAAAATTTTAGAACTTTCAACACACTATTATGTATAAAAAAAAATATTATATATATATAATAATATATATATATATATATATTTCTATATATATAAATATATAAATATTTATATAGATATATATACATTTTATATTTTTTAAATTTATTTATATATATATTTATGCAATCAAAATGTTTATTATTCTTTATTAAAAATTATTATTCTAAAAAAAATTTATGTATAATAATATAAACTTTTTTAATATATATTTTTAAAATTTACTTTAGATTTAATGAATTTAAATCTAATTGGAATTTCACTATTTTCTTAAACAAATTCATTCTGAATTTTTAAAGAATATTATTTTTCAATATTTTCATCCTGAATTAAAAATTTGCTTAATTTTTTCATGAAATTTGTTCCTTTTAGACTATTAATTTAATCTTCTTTATCTTTAAAATATATACTAATATTTTTAATAGTTTATTTATTTAAAGCCATTTCTCTAAAAAGTTTATAAGACATATCATTTTCTGGTTAAAAATTATTAAAATCCGAAATAAAAAAAGTTAAATTTTGATAATTTATAATTTAAGTTAAAGGCTAAACATGCAAATTCAAGCTTTAATAAATTCCAAGTAATGCATTGTACCAAAGTAAATGATTTTATAATTAATCTTAATTCTATAGCAACTAATTTAAGCTTTTACTTACGAATTCTCGTGTTAATCCTATATTTTTTAATTGTAAATAAGTCTTTATATTTCCTCCTTTACATAATTAAGCATATAATCTGAATACTTAAAGAAAATAATCATAATATAGTTTTATTACAGTCTATTCAATTTAATTCACTTCTATTTAATCTAAAAAAGATATTTCAAAACTATTAGATTAAACTTGATTGTATTTTAAGGGATTTTAGACCTTTTTTTATTCATATATTTTTCTTATTTCTTAATTATTCTATTCGAAATTTGAATTTCCTTTTATTATTATTTTTTTAATTTTTTTTTTTTTTTTATATATATATATATTTTTATATAACCATTTTTATTAAAAATAACAATTGGTTTATTATTTATTAAATCAAAATTAATTAGCGTATATTAAATAGGACAAAGAAATTCTTAATTTTCTTAACTATTTGCGGACACGCAACTTTTATATTATTTAAAAATAAATTTCCTGCAACTATTTTAGAATTATTTGATTGGATTATCTAAATTATCACAAAGACATAGACATAGCAAATTAATAATAAAAGTTTATTTTTGAATATTTTTATAATTAATAGAATCTAATTTATCAATAAAATAACCTACAGTCTTTTAAGTATTTCCATTTATTGTTCTTTTAACAATTTCGGTTAATAAATTTGATGCTTCTGTAGGATAAAGATAAGTTTGATTTAGAAGAAAATCATCATCTTATAAACAAAGAAAATATTAACAGCATTTATAATTTTCATATACACATTAATATAAACACTTTTTTAAAAAATAAATAATTAATATATTTAATATTATATTTTTAAAAAACTCTATATAATAAAATTATAGTATAACACAATTTAGTATTTGCAAACTTATGTGGTGTTTTAGCAAATTTTTATTATTTTAGATTATATTATTCATACATTTTACAGATAATTATTTTTAGAATATTATAAATAATAACTGTTATATCGGAATCTAAAAGAATTTCTTATTTTTATTTAAGTTTATTATTACTTTTTAAATAATTTAATATATATTTTAAACAATATTCTAATTATTCTATTTTTATATGTAATTGTTTCTAATTTTCAAATACTTATTAATATGTATAAAATAATTTCCCATCAACTTTCTCTAGTCCCCATTTTTACATAAAAAAATAAAAATTAATTAAATAAGTAATAACAGAATGAATTCTATCAACAAGTTTACTTTTTAAATATTTAATTTATAAAAAAATGTATATTAAAAATTGAAAATATTGTTAAAAAAAACCTTAATTTTATATCAACTAATGTTAATTAAAATTTAACTTGATTCCTTCTTAATTTTTCGACATTTCTTTTATCAATCAAAGTAACTTTATGCTGTTTTTCTAATTCTTAGACATCACAAAATAACTACAAAGTTTAACTATTGTAATATTGTTAAATCTTAAGATCTTATTTTAACCTTACAAATGGAAATTCTTAAACAGTACTATTTTTAGGATTAAAAGTAAATAAAGCCTCTTTACAATTTCCATTGAAAGTTAAAGATAGCTATTATTATGTATTTATACATAAAAATAAACCTGAGTAGACATTTTTTATTTTATATTATTAATTAAGATTGCATATTTCAGAATCAAAGCTATTTGATTTTTAAATTTCCCAAACAGACTATATTCTTTTTATTTAATTTTTATCTTATTCTTCTTATTCTAAAGTTAAAGATTAAGTACATAATTCGTATTATTATTAAATTTTAGTATTTAAAAAGTTATAATCAATAAAATCAAGCTTTTATTCATAAATATATGTATCATGATCATTATTTTTATAATAAATAATTTTCTTTTTCAATAATGAATTAAAATCAGTTTTTTAATTTACTAATAATTATGATTTAGAAATACTAAATTATAAGAAAAATTTTTATAAAGATAAATATAAAAATTAAATAATTTTATAATATATTTTAAATTTTATATATAATAAGTAATAAAATTATTTATTTGTAATATATATATAATATTTATATATAGAATAATATTAAAATATATTAATATATATATTATAAATATATATATATATATTTATATATATTTATATATGTATTTACCCATTTATTATATAAATTAAATTTCCTGATTAAAGTTAATTTTTTCTAAATTTTGATTATTTAATTAATCTTTACTTAAACCAATAAATTTTTTATTTTTAACGGAACTGATTTATCAGTACTATTTACTTCTAATTAATTTTAAATATGTAATTTTTAGGATTTTTAATGTTAATAATTTCTTAATTTACTGATATATTAATTTAAAAATCTTAATTTAATGCATTACATAAGAAAATTTAATCTGAATAAAGAACAGGTTCGCCTTAATTTTTTTAACTATAGGCTGAATTTATTATAAAATTGCACCATTAATTCGGTTTTTTTACTAAACAAACCTCTTTACAACAATTCTCAAATGCAAGTTTATTTTAATTGATTTTTAGGTTAAATCCACTAAATATATGCACCAATTATATTTCTTACCCATATAATATATTTTATCCAATTTTTGTTTCATAATTTTTTTTGTATTCCATTTCTTCCTCTTTCGCTTTCTTTTCGTATTCATCGAATATATTTTGGGTTATTTTTTGTTTTTATAAATTAATTCTTTCTTTTTATAATAAATTTTGGTAGTAATAATTTTTTGCATTTGTTATACGAAATAAACATTTTCTGAATTCTAATAAAGGGTTTTTATTTAATAATTCTTCTTCTTTTAATTCGTCTTCTTCTTATTATTTTTTTTCATCCACTTCATTTATTATGGATTCTTCGAAATTTTCATCTCCAATATTTTTAATAACTGGTATACATTATAATGTATTATATGATATTCCATCTCCTTATATTTTTTTTATATATATATTTATTAATATCTTTAAAGAAAAGAAAAATATACCCGATATTAATCCCTTTTGTTTACCCACATAATATTTGAAATATACAATATCGTTATATTTTAAATAATGCTTTTATTATTTTTTTATCTTTAAATTTTTTTCACTTAAATTAGCATCACTTCTTTATATTTAATTTACTTTTTTATTTTTAATCAAATGAATATATGTAACAATATAATATTTATTATACTTGTATATTAATTGTTTTTTCTTATTATTGTTTATTTCTTATCTATTTTTTTTTTTTTTAATTTATAAAAAAAAAAAATGTTTATAGAAAACTATATTTTTACTTTTTTATGTCAATAATACATTGCAATCTTTCTCTTGTATATTTTTTTCGTTTAATGTTTTTATTAATTAATTATTTTTATTAAATGGTAATATTTCTTGAGTATCATAAAAAAAGTTTTCTTTTATGTTTTTTAAACTTAATGAAGAATAAAGCATTTGTATATAATTTATTTTAAAAATAAAATAAAATAAGAATTATTATTTTTTTAAATTATTATCAAAAAAAAAAATAAGAGAAATAATCGTTAATAAAATTAAATTTGAATTGAATAAAAATATATTAAAGATTTTAAATAATTAAATATAAATATTTACATTAATATATTATATATTTATTTTTTTAATGAAAAAAGTTTACTTTATATTTATATTTTTTACTATTAAATTTATGATAAATATAAAAGTAAATAATATTATAAATTCATGTATTTTTTTTAATAATAGTATAAAAATAAAAATTAATATTAATAATAAAAATAAAACTTCTAAAATAATAATTTAAAATATTTTTTACAAATAAATATTTTTTTATAAAATTTAAAACTTTATTTACTATAAATAAAATAAATAAAAAATAAAATAAATTATATAGAATACTAAAAAAAATAAAAAAAAAATGGGATGTTGTTAATGTTAAAATAATGATAATGATTTTTAATATGAATAAAAATATTGTAAAATATATTATATTATAAACTGAATTAAAATAAATATTAAATAAGTGAGTGTAACTAAATTAGAGGATTAATAATCATCAGAACAAAAATTAATTTAATCAAAGCCAAAAGAAGCACAAGATACATGTTATTAAATATTTATAATTATAAATAATATACATTATATTATAAAAAAGAATACTAAATCGAAAAAGGAATGGTACGATAAAACAAAAGCAGTGTATTAGAATATTACAAATTGGGAGAAGTTTTAGGAGAAGGTAATTAAAAAAACTATCAAACAATAAAAATATAAAAAATAATAAAAAGGTGGCTTTGGAACAGTATGTTTAGCAACTCATAAACAAACAGGAATATAAAGAGCATTAAAAACGATATAAAAAAGTAAACTCGATAAAGTTGAAGAAACTAAATTATTCGAAGAACTATCCATATTAAAATAATTAGATCATCCTTGCATATTAAAAATATTTGAACATTTCGAAGATGATAATTACCATTATTTAGTATCAGAGTAAAAAAAATACATAGTTTTTTTATTTTTATTTAAATACAAAAAAAGATATTGTACAGGAGGTGAATTATTTGATAGAATAAAATAAATAAGTCCGTTTACAGAATAACTTGCAGCATCATACATGAAATAAATCTTATCCGCAATATCATATTGTCATTATCATAAAATTGTACATAGAGATCTAAAACCTGAAAATATCCTTTTCGATACTTAATAAGGTACAAGTAATTTAAAAATAATAGACTTTGGGGCATCTGCGATTTTAAAAAATGACTAAAAACTAACTCAAACTATAGGAACACCATACTATGTAGCTCCTGAGATTCTAAAAGAAGAGCCTTATGACGAAAAATGTGATGTCTGGTCTTTAGGAGTTATTCTATATATTATGTTATGTGGGTATCCACCTTTTTATGCAGATTCAGATTTTGAAATTTATTAAAAAATTAAATCCGCATAAGTTTAGTTTCATAGTATTTTTTTTTTTAAAAATAAAATAAAATTTATATATTTATATAAGAAAAAGATTGGAAATATATATCTTCTTAAGCTAAAGATTTAATTTCTAAAATGCTCACTTTAAACCCTTAAAATAGAATTAGTGCAGCAGAAGCATAAGCTCATCCATGGATAACCAATAATATCCATATAGAATAACTAGATGATAAAATGATGAAAAAGCTTACTTAATTTACTGCTAAAAACAAACTTAGAATTGCTATTTTATAACTAATGGTTAATTAAGTTATAAATACTTAAGAAAAAAAAGATATGATAAAGTACTTTTAAGCTTTAGATACTAATGGAGATGGAATGCTTTCAAAAAAAGAATTAGTTTAAGGTTTATTTTATTTTTATGAATAATAATATACAAAAATAAATATAGGATATATTAAGTTTATAAAAGATCCTATAAAAGCTAAAAAAATAGTAGATTAAGTTTTTAATTAATTAGATTAAGATGGAAGTGGAAAAATAGAATTTACAGGTTTTTTTTTATTAAAAAAAAAATCTAAATTTCATTTTTGATAAATAAATATTTTATTTTTTAAATATAGAGTTTCTAGTTATTTCTCTTTAATAAGAAAAATTGTATTCAAAAGAAAAAATTGAAAAAGCATTTAAATTAATAGATTAAGTATATTTTTTTTTTAATAAATAAATATAACAAAATAAGGATGGAAATGGTTAAATTACTAAAAATGAACTAGAAAGTATGATGGGCGGAATTCCAATAAATTAATAAATTTGGAATAATCTTATGAAAGATTGTGATTTAAATAATGATGGAATGGTAATTATTTTTAATAATAAAAAAAAGTATTATTAATTAAAATATAATTATAAAATAAAAATATAGATATCTTTAAGTGAATTTATTAATTTACTAATAAATATAGCAAATAAAGAATTAGTTAATTGAAAATATTTATTTTGTAAATATGAATAAGATATATTATATAATAATAATTATGTATATAAATAGATTAAAAATAAAATTAAAAATGTATTTATTAAATTGCATATAAACCTAATAATATATACAAATAAATATTAATAATATTTATAAAAACAAACATAAAAGAAAATTTAATATATATCAATAAAAAAAAATATATATATTTATATATATATATATATATATATATTTTAAATTAATATATTTATTTATCCATTTATTTAATTATCTATAAAAGCAATAAATAAATAAAAGAATTTTCTAAATAGAAATAATAAAATTATAATTAATAAATATAAGGTATAAAAAATAAAATAATAATAAAAAATAGTATAAATTAAAAAAATGGTTAATCCTTTGATTTAAAAGGTATTCGAAAAAATGGCATTAAAAATTACAGAAAAATATGCTGATAAATATATGTAATTATTAAAAAGTAATTAAAATAAATAAAAAAATATTGTAATTTATAAAAATAATAACAAAATAAAAAAACAAAAGGAAGTGGAGTAGATTTTAATAAATTTTAAATACCAAAAATAAATTTTAATTTCGATAATTTATTAAAATACAAATATAAAATAAAAAATTAACAATAAACCAAATAATCCTAAAAACCAGAAAATATTGATAATAATGATTAAGAATAATAACAACCAAAAAAAAATATTTCAATTTTTTAATTTTTCATAATACAAAATAAACATAAACTATAATTAATTTAAAGAAAAATATAAAATTAATACTATGGAAGACATATTTATAAAAACACGAGCCAAATATATAGAATATTATCAAAAATATGAAGAGTTTCGTCAAAGCATAAGTTTAAAACCTCAATAAACATCTTCTATGACAACTTTGGAGGCTTTAAAAATTTTAGGAATAGATCCTAAAGACGATTTAAATGGAACAGTAATTATGGATGTAAATAAAAATATAATATACACAAATAAAAAAACAATTAATATAAAAAAAAGCATTATATATTATAATATGTGAAAAATAATCCCGAAACAGGAGGATCTTAATATATATAGGCAAAAATTACAAATGCTAAAGATTATCTTATTTAAGTTTGTGGGGGATATGAAGAAGAACTAAGATGGAGATAAGCCAAAAACTTAGAAACAGGAGATGATAGTATTAGATATGATAAAACTTAAGATTTTGAACTTAATTTTAATATTGTGGATCCTTATAAAGATTTAAAGCAAGAAGATATTGAGAAAAAAGTTAGATAAGCAAAAGAAGAATAAGCATAAGGAGAAAATAGCGAAGAAAATGAAGATAATCCGAATTAATAAGAAACAGAATAGGAAAAACAATAAAATAGTGAAGAAAAAAAAGATAATAATGAAGAAATGAGAGATGATAAAAATGAAATAGTTAAAAATAATGAAAATTAAAAAAAAAAATGAAAATTTAAATTAATATATATTTATTTTAAATTAGATAATAATAAAGAAATAATTTAATAATTTAAAAAAATTTTAGAATTTAATATATTTTATATTTTAAAGATATTAAAAAAAATTTTATTTATATCATTTGTTTAATATAAAAAAAAATTAAAATAAATTGAAAAATATAATATTATATATATATATAACTAAAAATATTAAAAATTAATAATAATTTGATATTTATATAATAATATTTTAAAATATAAAAAAAAAATATTAAAATATATATATAATTAAAAATTTAAAAGTAAATAATGTAAATTAATTAATTAAATTATATAAATACTCCAGAAAATAATATTAAATTATTTAAATATTTTTATTTTAAAATATAATATATATATCTTTTGATTATTATTAATTTATGCATTTTATAATCTATTACATTTATTTATTTTTATTAATTAAAAAAAAAAAAAATATATAGAATAAATAAAAATATTTATTTAGATAAATAAATATATAAAATTTTCGATATATAAATATATATTTATTTATTTAAATATATAAAAATAATTTATAAAAAAAAATATTTTAATATATTTATCTAATATATAAATATATTTTTTTTTTATAATAATTATTTTATTTAATATAATTTTTATTTTTTAAAATTATTTATTATATTTATTTTAATATATTTTTTTAATAAAAATTATTTAAATATTAATATTTATATAATTGTTATTTTTATATAATTTAATTGTAAATATTAATATTTTTTAATATATAATAATATATTTTTATATTTATTTAAAATAATATTCATTTATTTAATAATATATTTTTATATAATATATTTATTTATTTATTATATAAGATTAATTTATTATTTTTTTCTTTTTTTTTTTTTAATTAATATAATATATTTGTATTTGTTTATTTTTATATTTTTTTATATTTTTTATAATTAATTAAATTTTTTATTTTTATAAATTTCTTTCATTAATAAATATATTTTAATTAAATAATAAATAATTTTTCTTAATTCACAATTTTTTTTTTTATTAATATTTATAAAAATTTTTTATATAATTTAAATATATATATTTTTAATTATTTATTTTATTAAATTTTTATATATATAATATTGTTTTTAAATAATAATTTTTTAAAATAAGTTTATTCAAAATATATTTTTCTCTTATTTTATATTGTATAAAATAATATATTTAATTTATTTAAATAAAATATTTACAAATTTGATTCATTAAAATTTATTTATTTTAAACTAACAAGCAATAAATATTTATTGAATTAAAAATTAATAATAATAAATTAATTTATAAAATTTTTATATATAATATATTTTAATAATCTTAAATGAAATTATAGTAAAAAATTATATCAAATATGTCAAGCACACCTTTGGCTATAGTTAAAAGAGGACTAATGCAAGATATATAAACATAAAATAATGATTTACATAATAATAGTATAATTTTAAATTAATCCTAAGCAAGTCCATTAAAAGATATTTTATTTAAATTAAAATTAAAACAATAAGTGTAAAATGTAGCTAATCAAACATCAAATAGGCGTCAATAAAAATTACAGGTAAGTTAACATAGATTTTTTAATGATAAAACATTAAATATATAAACAAAAGGAATTAAAGATAATAATAATTTATAAGATGATAAAATATTTAATTCAAAAAACAATATAAAAGCTATATTTATTTATTTAAATTAAAAAATACCAATATTTGATCCTTAGAGTTATTTTAAGCTTTTTTGGGACATTTAAATTGCTTTTATTATAACTGTTTTATTATTTTACATTCCTATTCATTTAATATATGGATTAAAATTTAACTAATTGATTATAAGCTAAGTAGATTATTTAATTCCATTAATTTTTTTTATTGATCTTGTTTTTAATTTAAATACTGGATATTATTAGAAAGGTTTTTTAGTTTAAAAAAGGAGTAAAATATTTTTTTATTTTTTAAAAAATTATTGGTTTTCAGATATAGTATCGATTCTTCCTTTTTTTTTTATTAATTAAATGGAAATTATAAATTATTTTTTAAAATTTATAATTTATTTTCTTTTCTATTAAAAACTAAAAAATATTCAAAGATTATTTAATAGAGTCGAAAACATACTCTCTTTAAATAAAAAAGCCATAAATATAATATCTCTTTGTTAACTTTTAGCCTTTGTGCTTTTTGTATCTCATATATTTGCATGTATTTGGCTTTTTGTAGGTCTTAATACTTACTAAAATTATTAAAAATCATGGCTTTCAATACGAAGTATATAAAATCTTGATTGGTAAGTTTAATATTTAAACTCTTATTATTTTGCTACTGTAACTATGATAACAGTTGGTTATGGAGATATAAATCCTTAAAATAATATTGAAATTGTAATATGTAGTATTGCTATGATGATAGCATGTGGTGTCTTTGCTTATGCAGTAAACTCAGTAGGTAAATATATATATATACATATATAAATATATGTATATTAGGAACTATTTTTTAAGAATTTTTCGCTTTCGAAAAAGAATTAAAATATAATATGAATGTAATAAATACATTTATGGCAAACAAAAAAATATCAAGAAAATTACAAGAATAAATTTAATAATATTTAGATTATTATTGGAGAGAATAATTAACTAAAAACAGTGATTTGGAATAAAAAATAATAAACTAACTCTCTGATAACCTTAAAGAGTAACTATTAATGGAAGCAAATAAATAAATATTAATAAATACTCCAATTTTTAAGACAAATTTTAGCGAAAATATCATTCCTAGGATAATTCCTTTAATAAAAGAGCTCCATTATACTCCAAATGAGAAAATATTTGACCATAGTGATATAATCGACAATCAAATATACTTCATAGAAAAAGGGAAAGTTGAAATCTGCATAAACTACCGTAACCCCTGCCTAAGAAAAGAAAAAGCTCAAACAAAAATGTATTAGTTAACATCTGGAGACAACTTTGGTGAACTGGGTTTTTTTACTGGACTAGGAAGGAACTTTACAATAATAACATAGTCTTTTTGTTCTCTCTTGACAATAAAAAGAGCTGATTTTATCCAACTTTTATAAGAATTTCCTGAAGACTACGAAAAATTTTGCTATATACGCGATATGATATTATACCAAAATGACTATCAAAAACTGGGTTTAAAATGTTTCTGTTGTTTAAAACAAAACCATTTAATAGACTAATGTCCTATAATACATTATATCCCCAATAAATTTAAAACTATATATAATGAATCAATTGGCGCTCCATAGTTTCATCGATAAAAATGTGTCAGAAAAAACAATAAAGCATAACATAAAAATAAAACTAGAACAATTTAAGATGACGCACTAAATTTTGTAGATGATTATGAAGATATTATAGACTTATATATTAAATAGAATATAAATTATGATTCTGATAATGATGAAGAGTATTATTTTACAACTTCTTCTTTTTCATCTTCTTCTTCTTCTAAATCTAAATCTTAATCAAAATATTCTTCTTCTTCTTCTTTTAAAAAATCATCATAGATTAATAATAATAAATTATTTAAATAATATGAATAAACTTCAAATTAAAAAAATAGATAATCAGATGATAAATTACCTTATTTAACAAATGAAAAGGAAAATTTGTAAGAAAAAAAAGTAAAGAATACTGTATATAGTGGAAAAAAATAAAATAAAAATGAAATATGTATATAAAATGCACATACAAATAATAATAATAATAATAATAATAATAATAATAATAATAATAATACCAGTATAAATATTTAATAATTAAAATAATAAAAAAACTCTTTATTATCCTAAAATTCTTATTCTTCTTAATCTTCCTCATCTTCTAGTTGCAATTAAGAAACACCTTTGTAAATAGAATGTCTAATTAAAAAAGATATTATAGTAAGCAAAAAAAGTGATTCCTAGGTAAATAGTTCATGTTCTTCTTCTTCATAAATACAATCTTAAACAAAGCAAGATTTATAAAGATAAAGAATCAAATAACTATCAAAAAAACCAATAGACCAAAACACTTATTAAAAACAAAGACTTTCTATAATAATAGACTTATTAAATAATTTATTAAAAAAAACTGAGAGAAATCCAAATCAACTAAAAACTAAAATTTAGAAATAAATTGCGTTAACTGCAGTACCGCATTATTACTAATATTCCCAAATATAAATAGCAAATAATAATAATAATAATATTTCTTCTTAATTTGAATAACAAATTGAAGAATAAAAGGAATTAATAACAGATACTATGAAAAATTTTAATATATACTTTCCTAATAATAATTACTCGAACGTCATATAAATCTTAATATAAAACTCTTAATTAAAAAGACAATAAGAAATTAACCAATTATTACTTTAAGTTAATTAAAGTGGTTTTTTGAAATAAAGAATAGGTCATAATAAAAGCGATGTAAGTAAAAGGAGTATATTTTCAAGGAGAAATAATAATAATAATAATAATACCAGAAAAAGGAATGCTTAATAGAGTACAGTAGAAATAAAATAAATAGATAAAATTTAATAAATAGAAAATAAAAATTCTTCTATATATTTTGGAAATTCTAAATTATTAGAATCTTTATCTTCTTCCTCTTAAAAAAGATAAAGTTAACATTCTATTAATTCTAATAATTTTACGAAAATCTCTATTGATAATTAAGTATAAGAATCTAATAATATCTAAATTAATTAATATAATAACTATTTTACTGATTATTAATCGTAATATTTTCAAAACATACAATTAATAGAATGATATTATTAAAAAATTATATAAAAAAAAAATATTAAAATAAATATAAATCTTTATAAATAAAAAAAATAATATCATTTTTTTTCCATTTCACAATGTAAATGATGTCTCATTTCATATTTATTAGTTTATAAAAAAAGATCATATACTAATTTATTATTTTCTATTTTAAATATTCTTTTTACTCCAGTAGCAAAAGGCTCTTTTGCACTTTAAGTCCTAATAATATTTTAAATATTTAATTCTAATTATTTATTTTCTTGAAGAACTCCTTCTTCTATTTCGCATAATCCGAAAGGATGACTAATACATAATTCAACTTTTCCATTTATTAAACGAAAATATCCACATTCGGAATGCATGGGTGTTTTTTCAGGTATTTTTTGAGTTTGTTGTATATACATATATATATTAGGTTTAATGTTTGTTACTTTTATTTACTCATTATATTATACCTATTTATTCATTAATTTACCTTAACCTTCCCAGTTCCCTTAAAGGAAAAATTCTTATTGGTTCATTACTATTATTATTTAAATTTATTAATTAAATTTATCTTTTAGATAAAAATCTTATAATAATTAATAATAAAAGAATATTATTTTATATAAAATACATGTATATTTATTTTAATTTGTTCGTTTTTATTTATTTTTTAATAAATAAATATTAAAGATAATTAATTAAATTATTATACATCCTTTTTTAAAATATAAATAATTATTTAAATATTTTAGATTTTTTTATAAAAAAAATAATAATAATTTTTTTATTTAAAAAAATAAAAAATAACATTTTTATATAAATATTTATTTTTTAATATTAAGTGCTTCCAAAATAAAAAATCATATTAGTCAAACCATCATAAATTCTGGTTTTTTATTTTAAGAAGAACATTAAATGTTAGTATTGAAGTTAAAATTATTTTAAAATTATATCGAATTATTATAAAACAGCTATTATTAATCAAATAAATAATCAATGCTGTTTTATTATTACGACTTTAAGTAAATATTATTATCTATATTTATTATTTCTTATTTATTTTAAAAATTAAGACCAATATAATCAATTTAATTATTTTGTTCGAAATCGTATTATAAATTTATTAATTATTATTTAATTGCTTTTTCATGCCTATCTTTAGCAGTTTCTTTATGATACTTTACATAATGCTCATTTAAGCTTTTTTTATGTAAATATGCTGAACTACACCCTTAAAATTCACAAACAAAATCTTTTCTTTTTAAATGAAAAGCTCTTATATGTGTTTTTAAATTTGAAAGCTAAATATAAATATATAAAAAATAATAAATTTATATAGATATTTTATAATACTTTAGTATATATTTTATCACAATTTTCAAATGTACATTTATATTATTTTTATGTTTTATTTTGTTAAAAGGTTATTTCTTGATTAAATTTTTTAAATTTATAAAGTTATTATTATTATTACTAATATTATTATTATTATTAATATTATTATTATTATTATTATTATTATTATTATTATTATTATTATTATTATTCTTTACATTACTATTATATTTTTTAAATCTATTAATTTTAATATATATTTTCCTTTTATTAGATTTATTCTTTAATTATATTTTAAAAATTAGAAATTTCATTAATTTATTAATTAAAATTACTTTTCTAATTTTCTTCTTAATATTAATTTATATAAATATTGTTAAAAATTCCTTATTTTTCATTTTAATTAAATAAATTTTTAAAAATACTAAAGTTTTAGCTATTTTCATTTTTTTTTTTCTTATTCAAAATAACTCAACTTCCTTTGATTTTTAAACAAAGTATTATTATTATTATTTTATAAATTTAATTAAAAGTTTACTTATAACTTCTATTATTATTAATGTATTTCTTAGAAAAATTCTATTTTTTATATAATTTCATTATTTTCATATTTATTTTCTTATTTTAAGTCATCTTATTTATAAATTTCTTAAATTTTACATTCTTAATTAATTTTATTTAAACTTTGTTATTATTATATATTATTTTTAATGAATTATTATTATTCAATAATGTTTTTTTTAATCAATTAATTTTCTACTTTAACTTATTAAACTTTGTATTTTTTTAGTTTTTACTTTCCATGTTTATTAACCATATGTCTATTGAAAAAAACTTTCTTTAAAAACTCCATATCACATTCATTACATTTAAACTAATTTTATTTCATATGTATTATTTTTATATGTCTTTATAAATGATGTTTGCAACTATATCTAATTTTGCATTATTTATAAGTACATAAATAAGGCTTTGGATTTGAACTGTGAGATATTTAATGCCTTTTTAAATGTGAATTTCTTTTGAAGTTCTTTCCACATTAAGAACATATATATTGTTTTATATTTAAATGTGTTTCTTTAATATGGCGGTTCATTTTGCTTTTTTTAGAAAAAGCTTTTTAGCATTTAAAGCATTTAAATATTGTTTCATTTTCCTATTCTTTTTATTATTATTAGTATTGAGAATTGAATTCTTAGTTAAGTAGTAATTACATTTTTTTTTAATTATTAATTTTTACTTTAATTCTTTTAATTGTTTTTATTTATTTTTTAAAAAATAATTTATAATTTTGAAAATAAATTAATAATTTTTTTTATTGATTACATTTATAAAATAAACAGCCTCTTTTGTTACAAATATAATTAAATATACATATTTATATTAATTATATATATATATATATATATATATATATATATTTTAAAATTCATTTTAAAATTTTTACAAATTATAAATTACAAGTATCTATATTTTTCAGTGGACCCCACCTACATTATAAAAAAAAGTTATTTAAATTATTATTTATAAATATAAAAATTGACAAAAATATATTTAAAAAAATAAATATATACAATAAAAATATATTTGATTATTAAAATAAAAAATCTATTATAATATATTATATTATATCCACTATTATATAAAATTAATTTTTTTAAAAGAAATATTTTATAACTATATGTATACTAATATTTAGTATAATATTTAATCTTAAGTCAATAAAATAAAAATAATTAAAAATTATATACAAAAACTTAATGTTTTGTCCCCCCACCAATTAATAAAATACAAGTTATTATTTTTTAAAAAAACAATTAATGAATATTTTTTTTTATTTTTAAATATATTAATTTTCGTAAATTTTATTCAAATTATATTAAAAGTTGCGTGAAAATTAATATTCTTATTCTATTATGTAAAAAATACAAGAACTTTATTTATAAATTAATTATAACATTTAATTAAAAAAAAAAAAAAATATTTTATATAATAAATATTTATTTAAAAAATAATAAAGATATAAATAAAATATACAATATATTATAATATTATATATATTCTTCTTCTAAAAAAAAAAACTAAATATTTTGTATAAATTAAATTTTACAATTTATAATTACTTTTTATAAAAAATAATAGTATAATCTATGATAATAAATTTTATATTATAATTTAATTTTAAAATAAAATAAATAATTTAAAAATATTAAGTTTTAGTACTATTTAAATAAGCAAAATAATTTTTTGTTATAAAAATATATATATTAAAAAATTTAAAAAATAATAAATTAAATATAAAACTAATAATAAAAATTTAAATTTATTATTTAATAAAATAAAAATTTAAATAAAAAATATTATCAAATATTAAAAAAAATTAAATTGATAAAATTTATATTTTTAAAATATATTAAAAATAAAAAAATAAAGTTAATCTTAAATAAGTTTAGATATTAATCCTTTTTTATAATTATCCTACTCATTAAAGGAAAATTTTAGATGAAACTTAAAATAAATACAATCATAAACAAACCTATATTTTATTAAGTAAAAAAAAATTACTACTAAAACATTTAATACTATTCAGAAAAAATTTTATAGTTTTAGAGGAGGGAGAATACTTATATTTTTAAAAAAGTAAATTCGTTATAAATTAAAGAAAAAAAGAATTAAAGGTAAAAGTTCAAAAAATAAATAAGCTTATTAAAATAAATCAAATAATTTGTTAATTTATCTTCAAATATTAAATTAGCAACTGCATATTCAAATCAGGAATAAAAATATATTTCATAAAAAAAAAATTAAAACAAAGTTAACAATATAAATCTACATTTTAAAAAAAGTTTTAATTTATTAATTAAAGTTAAAAATATAAACATAGAGATTAAATTTAAATAAAATAAAAAAAAAAAAATAATAAATAAAAATTTACTTAAAAATAAATGTTAATTCTAATAATAAAACAATCAAGAATAAAGCGTTTTATTGAAAAAATATAAAATATATAAATATTTAAATATATATATTTCTAATGTTAAAAAAAATATATATTTTAATTTTTTCATAAAAAAATAAATATTTAAATTTCAAAAGAATAATATCTATTGAAGAAAAAATTTGATTTTAAATATAAAAATATAAACTATTCATAAATAAAATTAATTTAATTGCTTATAATTAAAATAAACAAAAAATTAAAATTATATATAAAAAAAAAAATAAGCAAAGAAAATAAAAATTAATGTTATTATAAATATAAATATATGTATATGTATATATATATAAATAATAATTATATAATTATATAAATATTTAAATATATAATTATATTAAAATATATAATATATTAATTTTTTTATTTCCATATTTCTTATATATCTTTTATTTAATTAAATAATTTTATATTGTTTCAATTTATATATATTATAAAATAAAAAAAAATTATATATTTTTTTCACAAGAAGATATAAAAAAAAAATAGATACATTTTTCTAAAAATAAATAAAAAAGATATAGAACAAAAAATAATATTTATAATTTTTTTTATTTTAAAAACTTAAAAACAATAAAAATGAAAATCTAAACTGTATTTATATTATATATAAACTTTGTTGTAGTTGCTATTATAGCGTCACTTCTTACAATTGAATAAAAACTAAATTTTGAACTAGACGAAAACGTAATAGTATTAACAGATAAAAACTTTAAATTAGTATTAAAACAATATAACAATATATTAGTTGAATTCTACGCTCCTTGGTGTGGTCATTGTAAATAATTAGCTCCAGAATACGCAAAAGCTGCCACTATTTTAAAAGACAGTAAATCTAATGTAGCTTTAGGAAAATTAGATGCTACAGAATAAAAATAGGTTGCTTCTTAATTTAAAATCTAAGGTTTTCCTACTTTAAAATTCTTCAGAAACGGCAATCCTTCCGAATATACAGGAGGAAGAACATCTTCTGAAATTCTTGAATGGATAGAAAAAAAAACAGGCCCATCTTCTCATTTATTGACATCAAAATAAGAGTTAGAAGAATATAAATAAGATAATGATGTAATTTTCATTTTTTTTTATTTAAAAAATAAAATATGAATTCTATTTTATTTATATTATTTTTAAAAAAAGGTAATTTTTGCTTATTTCGGTTTATCTGAAAATGATAAAGAATTTTAAGAATTTTAAAGTTTAGGACATGACTATGATCATATAAAATTCGTTCATATTTTCAATTAAGAAGTCTTAGATTAATTAAATATCTAAAAAGGAAAACCTGCATTAAGATTATATAAGAATTTCGATGAGAAATTAAATGAATATCAAAATGAAGTCACAGTTGATAAAATTAAAAAGTTTTTGGAAGAATTCTCTCATCCTTTAGTTATGCCTTGGGGAGATGCTGCTAGTAGTAAAATCTATTCTAATAAAAATACTGGAGTTCTTCTATTCCATGAACCAAATGATGAAGAATCAATTAAATTATTATAAGAAATAGCTAAAATAAGAAAAAGTAAAAATAAAAATAAAAAAATCATAAAATAATTTTTTCTTTTATTTTATTTTTTTTAATAAAAAAAAAAAGTTAAAGAAAGTATTATCTTTTCTTCTATAAATAGCTAAAACTCCAATTATAGTAAATTATAAGAAAGTATAGGAGCCTCCAGTTTATCTTATCCAGCTTTATTTATATTAGATTCTAAAAACGAGGCTAATTATTTAATGGAAGTTGAATTTAATGAAAAAAATATTAATAGATTTATAAACTAATTCAAAAGTAAAAAACTTACCAAATACATAAAATCACTCCCTATTCCAGAAAATAATCCAAATGAAGCTGTTCTTAATATTGTTAGGAAAAATTATGACTCAGTAGTCAAAAATAGCAAATAAGATTTATTTGTGATGTATTATGCTACTTGGTGTGGACATTGTAATTAATATAAACCTAAATTAGAAGCTTTGGCTTAAAAATTTAAAGTCAATCCTAATGTTATTTTCGGAAAATATGATGCAGTTAATAATGCTGTTGAGGATGTCTAAATTAGTGGATATCCGACTATCTTTTTCTTTAAGAATGGAAGTAAAAGTTAGCCTATTAAATATGAAGGAAATAGGGATGAAAATGATGTTATTTAATTTATTAAATAACATACATCTTATCCTTGGGTTGATATTTTACATGAAGAATGATTTATTTTATATTTAGTTTATTTTTTTTTAAAAAAAAAGGATTTTTTTTAAAAAAATTAATCCTTTTTATTATATTATATTTTATTTTAAATTTTAATTTTTTTAATTTTTTTTTTAAACAATTCAATTTAATTTTTATATATGCATATTATAAAAAATTTATATAGCATTCTAACAATTTAAAATTTAATTATTTTATATATTATTATTCTTATATTAATAAATATATTACGAATTTTAGATAGATTTCTAAATTTTAATTTCATTATCTTATAAAAATAATTAAAATTTAATTACTATTTTAATTTATATTTATAATTAATATTAATATTAAAGTTTCATACTTTATATAAAATATATCTTTTAGTTCTTATATTTATATTATTACTTAATTGATTTTTAACTCTTATATTATATAATATATAATGAAAAAAATTATAAAAGTAACAATAGGAAATATTAAATGCATTAAATATTTATTTTATTTTTAAACGCAATTATAAATAGTCTATACTATTGATAATATATTTAGACATAAATAATTTATATATATTTTTAATAAAAAAATATATTTATAGTTTGCTTTTTTTTATAATATATAGGAAAATTATTAAAAAAATTATAATTAATTTAAATCTAACACTTTTAATAAGCATAAAAAAATTAAAGAATTTATAGACAATACAATCCATTTTATTTATAAACAAAAAAAATTAATTTATATTATATATATTACATAATCATTAATATAAATAAAATAAAATTTATATTATATATTTTTTTTGTATTAAAAAATAAAAAATAATGGAATAATTATTTAAATAGATATAAAGTTTATTATTATTTTTCATATCATTTTTAATTCATAATAAGTCTTTCAATTTTATTAATTTAATATATTAAAATCATTATTTTTTATTATTAAAATAAATAATATAAATATTAAGACTATTAATATTAACAAACCAGAAAATGTAAAAGATTTAAATTATTTTTTGTATTTGTTCTTTAAAAATTTTATTATTAAAAGAAAAAATAGTCAAAAATAAAATTTTAAGAATCTTTAAAGAATTTATCTGTATCATTTTTTTATAAATATTTATATAAAATTTATATATTTAAATATATTAATATATATTTATATATATATAAATATTATTTTTTATATATTTATTAATAAAAATATATTTTTAATTTAAACATATAGTCAAATTTTTTTTTATTTTTACGTAAATAACTTATTTATAATATTATACATTTTTTTTTTTTAATTATTTTTAAACATAATATATAAATAATATATAAATCTAAAAAAAAAACTTAAAAAATCTTTATAATTATCGTAAAAAAAACACAAAAAATTTAAAAAATTAATAAAATTATAAAAAAAAGTAAACCTAATAAAAATGCAAAAAAATAAATATTCTTAATTAAAAAAACTCGCTAATATTTGGAATTTTCTAACCCGAGCAGACAAAGAATATTTGCATTCATAAACATTTAATTAATTTTTAATTACAATTTATTTTTTTCAACTTTTTGGACTTCCCTTATCTTTGACAGATTTTCCCAAATAAGATGAAATCCTCTAAATAATATGTTTTATTGCTAAAAATTCACGAATAACTCCTTTATTGACTTTAATTTCAAAAAGTTCTCATAGTTTTTGTATTTTTTTTCTTATTTCTCTTTTGTTTTCTGATATAACATTTTACATAATTATATTTTAATTATCTTTGATTCCAACCTACAAATAAGATCGAGCTTCCTAATTAAAAATAAAAGGTATTTAATATATAAAAATTTACACTGAACTTTTTAAATGGTTTTTTTTTATTATAAAAACTGATATTGCTTTTGGAGGTATTTTTTGTACTTATATTGATTCTTAAACAAATCCTTTAATAGAAATTAGATGTTCATATATACCCTAAATGGATAATTATAAATTAATATTTTTATTTTTTTGTCTTTTATAGCTTTTATTTGTTTTTATAAGCTGTTTTATTTACCTTTTAGTCTATAATTCATGTGAATTATGCTTAATAAATCCAATTAAAACAAGATTTTCTTACCAAAAAATTGCAGAATTTTCACTGGTATTTCTTTTTATTTTACTCTCATACCCTTATTACACTTAATGTAAGGAAGTTTTGACTTTTTTTGCATTTTTGATAGGAATTTTTCATTATTATTAATACTATTCTAATTTTCCTTTCATGGAACTTTATTATACAAATATTTATATATAATTTTTGAATCAATATATGTTTTCGAGTATACTTATAGCTTTATTTTATTATGATTTAGTAGAAAAAGAATCTTATTTTAAAGGATATTTTTTTATTTTTGGTTCTTTTTTATTTTTTATTTAAAAAAATTTGTTTCATAAATAAATTAACTCACTCCATTGTTTTAATTTATCTAACTCTGTTTAAAGACCACTTTATGCTTGTTAGTTTTTCGAAGAACTAATAGTATTAACGAAAAGAAGCGCAAATAATTTCCAATAAAGACTTATTGCATTCGGGATTATTAGTAATCATATGGAAATATGTTTAGATATAAAATGTCCTTGTTTTTCTATTAAATAGAATCCGCAATTTTCAATTATTTTCGAACCAGTAGGTGTTTCGAATATTAGATAATAAAATAATTATTAGAGTATTTAATTTTTTTGTTTTATATATATATATATATATATACATATAAATAAATATTATTTTTCTAAAAAAAAGACTTTAAAGAATGGATTTATAAATTTATTGATTATAATTTGAGATAACTATTGACTTAATTAAAAAAAAGTTATATTAAACAAAACTAGGTATTTAATTTTTATAATTTTTTTTATTTAATGTTATTTTTATTTATTTCTATAAAAAAAAAGATTTTTTAAGATGTTTCTATGAGATTTTGGTTTTTTAGTATTCGATAATAAAGAAATTATATAAAATCATTATATATAATGAAAAGTGATAGTGATAAATATATTAAGAAGAGTTTTTTTTTAAAATTATAGAAATATCATGTGTTTAAATAATAGAAAATTAAATAAAAAGTTTTGATAAATCAATGAAATATTCATGCAGGTAAAAAATAAACAAAGTAAAATAAAAAAATAAAAAAAAAGATTAAAAGATATATAATAAGCAGTTTAATTCGAAAATTTTGAAAAACTTGTTTTAAGTGAGGAAACGAAAAAAAAATGAAAAATTATCTATAAATTCTTTTATAAAATAAAATAAATACTTTATAAACAATGATAAAAGGATATGAAAACATAGATTAATTTAAAAAAGATTTACTTTAATTAATGAAAAAAGCTGAAAAAACAGAAAAATTGTTTAAAAAATCATTATAATTAGATAAAAATAATATATAATATATTAAACTTTATTCAATATTTAAATTAAGAATACTTAATGATTATAATAATTATAGATAATTAACATAAAACATAGAAGATATTAAAATAAAAGATAAATTTTTAAATAAAAATCAAATTCATTCAATTAATATATTAAAAGGTTAAAAAAAAATATATAAAAATTATTTATATATTATATATATAAATATATATATATTATTTAAATTTATATATATACAATAAATATTTATAATGTAATAGGTAATGTATCTTCAATTATAAGTAGTTTTAATACTTCGATTGCCAAAATTACTTCTTTTTCTGAAAACACACCAAATTTTTTTGGTTATAAAAAAATACAATTTGATACTATTTAATCTTTAAATGATTTAATTCCAGATTGTATAAGTATTTGGCATGATATGTTTATTAATAGACTAGTCGAAACTGGATTATCTAAAATAATAAGAAAATATCGATTTGCTTTAGGAAAATAGAAAGGTTATTTTAATAATAAAGTTATAAAATATTTAATTTTAAATAGATGGATTTATATTTCCTATAAATTTATATGTTAACTATTATTGGCATAATATTGGAAATTAATTTTGTTTTTCTGCTCTTATTCTTAAATTAAAAACTGAAAGTCAATTTATTTTAACTGACGAAGAAGGCTAAATAAAAGAAATAACATCTAACTTTGCTATTTTTTTAAATAGTTTATGTAAAAACAAAATAAATAGAAACCTTTTGAACGATATAAACATTTCTTTTTTAATTCCTAATATAAATATAGTTTTAAATAATTATGATAATAATACATAATAGCACGAAAATTTAAAATATGAAATAAGCATACCATATAGTATTTTTTTTTGTTTTAAATATAATAATAATAAAAAAAAAAAAGATTTCTATCATTATATAAAAGAATATAAATAGAAATAAAATTTAAAAAAATAATATAATTAAATTTAATTTATCTAAAGTAAACTTAATACCAAAAAATTTTCATAAAAATATAAAAAATCAAAACTAACATTAGAAACTACACTTTCAATTCATAAAGAAAATATCGAATTATATGAAAAAAAAAACCGTTTAATAATGTATATTATAGAGATTACACACTATAAGATTTTAAAATTTAAATAAGTTCCCAAAAAGACTATTATTGAAAATCCCTAATTGGATAATAAATCTTTCTACTTTAAAGAATAACTTTTAAAAGAGAAATCATTAAAGTTTAAAAATAATTAAATTATATAATAAAATTCAATAGTATTAACTGAAGAATAAATGCAATAAATGAATTTTTAAAATTTAAAATCAATTCACAAATGACAATGAATAATAAGGAACAAGATAAAAAAGCTTTTCTTCAATCCCTATTTAAACAAATAATCAAGAAAAAATAACAAATTCAACTAGTTTAAAGAAAATAAATGAAGAAGAGGAATTAGATTCTGAATAAAAAAATAACGTAAATAACTCTTTAACAAAAAATTTATTTAATTAATAATAATAAATAATAAAAAACATAAAACCTCAAGAAATAATAAAATAACAAGATAAAAAAATAGAAGAAGAAAAGATAATAATTCGTAATAAAGCCAAAACAGAATATAAAATTCTCAAAAAAAATCTAGAAGATGACGATAATTCCATTAAAAGCTAAGGGTCTTGTGAATATTCTGACACTTCTATATCTTTAAATCAATTATAGATTTTAAATCATAATGTTATAAGTTAAAGTATACATGAATATAGAGATAATTCTAATAATGAGGAAAAATAAGATTCTTCATTGAAAAATTCTATAGAAATTGATAGTACTTTATTCCATAAAAGTTAGAATTCGTCAATAAAATAAGCTAAATAGAATAATTATATGAAACAAATTTATATTTTTTCAAATAAAAAGAATGTTTCGAAACTTCTTTTGAAATTTTTTACTTGTTATATTAGTTAATGGGTTTTATTTCTTATTTTTGGAATAATAATGTTTATTTTTTTAGACTTCTTTTTCAATTCATACATTTAAATAATTGATAATTTTGCCTTTTGTGAATAAATTATGGCCTCTTATACATTATTTTCGTTAAATGGGAATTATATAAGTTTCTAAAATATAAAAAAATTAGGTTTATAGGAATTTTTTTTCCAAAATTTAAAAGAAAACTACTCCTCAACTAAATAGGTTATTTATAATTCATTTGTTAAGTAAATTTTGCATGATTTTTAATACTTTTATTTAGAAAGTGAAATATAAGTGTATTATTTAAATAAAGAAACAAAAAAAATACTAAAATTATATTTTTTGAATTTTTAATTAAAATTTTAGATTTTTAATATTAATTCTAAATGGATGAAAAAAATATAAATTTTAATTCCTAAGTACTTTTTATTATTTAATAAAATTTTAATCTACTTGAATAGTAATTTTTATAAATACAAAAGTTAATAGAAAAAGAGTTTTAGGAATAGAATGATCTTACTTTATAAATTAATCTCATTATTTTTATCATTTCGATTTGTTTTGTTGTTATTTTTCTTTATTTAGCAATTAAGCCTTATAAATAATATATTTTAAATATATAAAGTATATTAATGGTTATTGGAAGAGTAAACGAATAAGAAACAAATGAAGAAATATAGAAATTGAAACTTACAAAAAATCTTATTGAAAGTGAAAACGAAAGTAATTTTATATTTATTATTATTTATTTATATAATTATTTATATGTTAGTTTATTTATCAATGAAAAGTTTAAAATTTCTAAATATGGGAGAAAATTTGAAATAAAATAAATAAATATAAAATAATACAATATTAAGAAATGTAAAAGAAACTAAAAATAAATTCAATACAGTATATTTATTTGATCGAATAAAATAAAATAAATCCAAAAATAAATTAATGATAATATTATTAATAATTTTAATTTTTAGTAATTGTGTATATTTAAGTGTAAATATATTATTTAATAATATTATTTTATTTATTTTATTTTTTTGAAAAATAGACATTCTTATTTGTTAAATATCTAATATAAAACATACAAAATCCTATAAATAATTATTCACTTTTAGTCTCATCATAAACATAATTTTCTACATTATTTTTTACCTAAAATTTATAATTAATTTAAAGCGGAATGTAACATGTTTAATAAAATTTTCGTGATTTAGTATTTTATTATGTTCCAAATAATTAATTAGAAATTTCCAAAAATAAATCTTTAGAAAATACTATAATTAATTTTGTTAAAATTTTTGAGAAAATTTAAATTAGTAATTAATCCAATTCTTTTAAATAATTCGTTAACAATATTGTCTAAGGAAACACTTGTAGTTATTTTTAAAATATTATATAAAATAAAATGGATGCATGTCTCAAAAGTTCTGCTGGAATAGTCAATATGGGACTCTTAAACACTATAAATGCAATCATAAGTGATGTTTAAACAAAAGACTTTAATAAATGGGAATTTAAATAATCTTTTGAATACATATAAAGCATAGAATATACACAGTAGGTCTAAGTTTATATTATTTTAATGGAAATTTTATAAGAAATATAAGTTTAAATGTTCAATGATATAAAAATTATTTTAAATAATTTATCTTTAACATATAAATATTATTAAGTATTAGCTAGTATTGTTATTAGTATAGCATTTTTTATAGCAGCTTTTATTTCTTTTATTTCAAGTAAATTAGAATATGGTTTTATTAAAAAAGCTATTTAAATTATTCCTTTAAAAAGACTTTCGGAAGATAAAACTACTCAATTTTTATTGAATAAATTTATTAATAATGAAAATTATAAAATATGAAAAAAAAAAAAAAATATATTAATTTATTTCTTTCCATTTTTTTTTTTTTTTTTCAAATCTTTTTATTGTATATATTATTTTATTTTAGATATAAGTTTATTAAATAATATATATATTTTATTTTTTTCGAAATAGGCAATTTTAATTATTTTTCTATTTAAAAATTTGAATATTATATTTTTTTATAAATACTAAATTATATATCACTTAAAAAATATAATAGTTATTAAATAATAGAGTTATTTATAATAATTAAAATCTTTAAATTAACTTTTTTTATAAACTTTATTTTTAAAATTTGTATAAAAATAATAAATTTAAATAAGTTTTGATAATAATTAAAAATAAAAATATTTAATTATTATAATATTTATAAAGATTAATAAAAAAAAAAGAATTCAATTTAAAATTTACAAATAGTAAATTGTTTAATTTAATTAGAAAAAAAAAAAAAAATGAATCTAAATGAAAATAAATAATCATAGATGCCAGGAAATATAGATTCAAATAAATTATTATATGGCCATATAATAGTTTTATAACTAACAGATCAAAAGTAATACAGTTTTCATATAGAAGGATTTTTCAGACCCTAAGCATCATTATAAAAGGCTTAGTTTTAAAACCAAGAAAATTTTCTTTTTAAAATAATGCCATCATTTTAAACAAGTTATATAGATTAATTAAATAAACTAAATCTAACAGCATAAAGTAATGTAATTTTACAAAAGAAAGTATTGGATGAATATAAATAAAATATTGATATTTATAATAAATTAAAAGGTTAACCAATATTATTTTATACTCCTATTTAATTATTGCATGTTTCTACAAATAAATATCTTTAATGCAATTATTCATAAGCAGGTTTTTTTATTTTTTTGTATAATGTATAAATTAAAAAAAGATTATTCAAAGGATAGTTTTAAATTAGATTTATCTATATTTTCTTCTAAATATACAATTTTTTAGATGCTGCCAGTATATAATCATTAAAAAAATATGAATAGGTTTTTTTTAAAAAAAAAATAATAAAAAAAAAATATATATATGAATTTTTTATAATAAAAAAGTAATATATACATAAATGATTCTGTTTATATATAATTTTCATAAAAATACCTCTAAAAAATTCCAAATTTATTCTGCAATTTTAATTAATAGCAAGAAGAAGAAAATATAAATTAAATTTAGATTTAAATGGATTAAAAGTTAAGAAGAAAAGATAAGAATTAAATTATAAAAAAAATAGTTCATAATTAAAAAACTAGTTTTAACCAATTTTCTAGTTTCGAATAAAAAAAAAAAAAAAAATCAATAATTATAGATATCAATGATGATGAATAACAAGATACATCTCCTTCTATAGAAAATGAAGATCAAATAAAAATTTAACATAATATAATAGAAAATTTTAGAAGAGAAACTAATTTTAAATTCTAATAATATGTATATATTTTATTTTGTTTAGTATAGAAAATAATATTAAATAAAAGTTAGGTTAATAAATTTCAAAATCTAACTAATCCCAAATAAACACAAAAGAATTACAGAAATATATTCCAAATCCACTTCCTGGCATATATTAAAATTTTCAAAATATGGATTAATTATAAACTATATCTTAAATTTAATAAAAAAAAAAAATGAAAACTGATGTGACATTATTTTTTAATTAAAAAAGTATGTGGACAATAAAATATTATTCATATAAAACTGATAATAATATAACTTAATAGTAATATTAAATACATACTTAAAATTAATTTATATATATAAAAAAAGATATGGAGATAAAGTATGGATTCATCATGTAGAAAATAAGAATAATTTAATAATATAATATAATGGAGAATAGTCTTCAATTTTATTTGAATATAATAATAATTAAAATATTTTAAAATATAATAGAAATACAAACGGAATATGGGTAATAGAAAATACAATCTTATTTGAAGGAGGAACTTTAGATTATAATTAATGTGTTTATTTTAAGCATTTTGCATTAAAAAAATATTTATAACTATGTAAAAAAAAAAAATGTTTCTAAATTCTTTATTTATATATATAAAATAAATAGAATACAATAATTATTAGTATTATTTAGATTTATTAAATGAACCAAATGAAAATTGTTTATTTTAATTAATAAAATTACCCTCTTTATAATAAAATAACTAAAATTAATTGGAGAAAGATAGCCTTTTTTATATAAAATCTTTTAAACATAAAGTATATATAAATAATTCTTTTAAAAATAACTAAAACCTTAACTAAAACTAAGGTATATAAATATCTTTTTTTTAAAGTGATGATTCTGCTTTTTAATTTTTGAAAGCTACTCATTCAGAAATACTTGGAACAAATTTTATAGTATAAAATATACCAATAATATAGAAATGCATATATTATATGAAAAAAAATAACACTGAAAAATAAATAATTAAAGATTCAATAATTCTTAACGGTTTATTATCATTGAATTAAAGTTTAATTAGCGTAAATGAATTTTGTATAAATAAAATTATTCTTACAAATAATGATGATTCTAGAAATTTTAATAAACCAAATAAAAACAGATAAATAATAATTTAAGAATAAAATTATTTATGTAAGTATATATATATATATATATATATATTTATATATATATTTATATTTATATTGATATTTTATATTTAGATTACTTATTAGAAATGATTTAACTTATTGTAAATGTAGATGAATTAAAAGAACTTTAATTTGATTTTTATAAAGAACTATATTAAAATTAATAACGATAATTCTCTGATAAAGTTATGCTTACTATTAATAAAATACTTCATGTTTTAAAAACAAAAAAAGGAATCGATATACAGAAAAAATAAGAACAACCGTAAGACATCTTTACAGAAATTTATAATTAATAAAACTTTCTTAAAATTTAATAAAACACATTATATCTTTAACATAGAATTTAAATTTTATAAAATATTTATTAATTACTAATTTCTTTATGTAAAGATAATTAAGTTAATTAAAACATAGTCTATTAAAAATTAAAATTTGTGCACTATCATGCTATTTATTTAAAAGACGCATCTGATTGTTTAATTTAAATTTTAACCTAAAATGAATCACTTTTAAATAATCTTTCTGATAATATAAAATTATAAGTATAAAGACAATCTTAATCTGTTTCTTATAGTGAAAATACTGTTGAAATATAAAGTTTGAATTTAATTAACAATAGCATTATTTAAAGTAATCTACTTTTGTTTTTTAAAAGATAAACAGAAGAAATGCATAATTATAGAAAACAAATTAAATTAAATATTGTTAAAGATGTTAATATTTTGAATTTTTTTAAAAATGTAATAAGTTTTTTTTTTTTTTTTTTACATATTTTTTATAAAAATTAAAAGATTTGTAAATTTAATGATAAAGGTGTTTCTGTAAATCAAGAATAAATATATAAATTTTGTTTTGAAAATGGAGAAAAAACTAAATTTCATAAAGCAATATTTTACAAGTTCTAAATAGTAAATAATAATTTGAAAATTATTTTAAACAAAGATAATGTCCTTTATATAGAAAACATGAATTCTCACAAATTATAAAAAGAAAAATATAATTATTTTTTGCAATAAATAAATTTTTATTCAGATCTTGCTTAAAATAGAAATTTTTTATGGAAAAACTATCTTGAAAAAGTAAAAAAAATAATAATATATATTTATTTGAATTATAAATAAAGCTTTTTCCTATATAATTTTTATTTGATAAAATATTTGATTCTAGCCTTTAAAGAGAATTAAGAAGTTCTTTTTGTAATTTAGCTCTTAGTGTATATATAGATTAAGAACCTTTAGATTATGTTTTAGTTCCTTAAATGTGCAAAATATAGTAAAAAGACTATCAAAACAAAATAAAAAATTAAAACGAAGATAATTCAATAAAAAAGTAAAGTCAATTTACGAGTTCTGAAATGAAAAGTAAAGATTATAATAATAAAAATAAAGGAAATACATAATTTGAAATTTACAGATATTTTATATAAAAAGCATTAATATATATATAAAAAGAGATAAATAGTTTTGAATAAAGTTTTTAATTAAATTAAAATGTTTTATAATCAAGAAATTAAAAATGTAAAGTATTTTATTTTAACAAAAAAATATATTTCTATTTTATATATATATATATAGCAAATTAATCAATCAATAAATTAGTTTCTTTGGAAAATGTTTTATTGTTAAATATAAGTAAAATTTTAATAATTTTAATTTAGTTTAATATTTTGGAAATTATTAACAAAAAATAACTTTATTCTTCTATATTTACAAAATATATGAAAATTCTTAATTATGATTCTGCATTTCCTTAATATTCATATTTCCTTAATAAATAAAATTGCTAAAAATACTTAGATATTATTCTCAATAAAAATAATAAAAAATATAAAATTGCTTAGGCTTTTTCTTAATTATATAATAAAGTTTCCAAATAAATATTAATGGCAAGTTAGGCTTTGGGAATTCAAAATAATAGTAGGAGTTCTTAAAATGAATTAGAAGACGAAACATAAGATATAGACACAAAAAATATGGATTATGATGAAAATATTCTTTTGGATGGATTTGTTACATTATAGTGTGTTTTCAAAAAAGAAAAAGAAGAAAACAATTAAATTCAAATTCAAATAAAAAAAAAATATGTGATTTATTTGTTTTTATTTAAAATTTAAGAATGGATTATTTAATTAATAATTTCTTAGAATGGTATAATCTAAAAAGTAATATTTTTTTTACTTCTAAAAAAAAAAATAAGAAAACAATTATTAAATTTATTTTATTTTTAAAAATAAAAGGTTAAAAATTATTAAATGAATAGTAATAAAATTACATTTAAAATTTAGAAAAATCAATTATAAAAGTTTTACCTTAACTTTATAGAGTAAAAAAAAAATATATATTAATCAAAATATATTACAAAAGACAGGAATAGAAGAAATAGATGATAAATATACAAATCTAATAAAAGATTAAATATATAATAAGTGTTTTTTTAAAAAGAAGAAGGTAGTTCCTTTCAAAAATTATTGTTAAGATGATTAAGATATAATAAAAAACTTGGACAATTTGATAATAAACGAATAAAAATAAAATGAATAAAAAAAATAAAAAAGCGATTAAAACAAATAAATTTAAAATGAACTATTACCATCTTTAATAGTTTTATTTTATAAACAAAAAGATAGTTAATTAAAAGATAAAATTTTGGATGTATTAAAAGGTTGTTTTAATTAAAATAAAATATTTTTCGAACATTTAGTTGATTTATAAATATTCTTTGAAAAATCAGAAATTAAAAATTTTTAATAATTAAAAGATAAAATAGAACAATTAAAAATTTTAGCAGAAAGGTATCTTATATAAATAATCAATTTCCGTTTTTTTAAAAAAAATTAAAACAAAAATAGATCGGAAATATGGCTTTTTGAATTCGTGAATAATAATAAAATAAAAACAGAAATTGAACAAATAAATGTTTTATTAAATTATATAAATGAACAATTATAGGATTAATTTGAGTAAAAATTATTATTTTCTCTTTAGAAAACACTTACATGTTTACATATGCATACTCCATTGATAAATTTGATTTAAGATGTTTAAAATTAAATAGCAAAGCTTTTAAATAGTTCAAATTTCTAAAAAACATCTAAATAAATTATTTATAAATTAATTTTTAATTTATATAGAACTTTAACATATTATTGCCATAATAATAAAGTAAAAAGATAAAAAACAAATATAATATATAGATATTTTTTTAAAAAAAAAATAGAAAAACTAACTTATTTTATCGAAATATACTCATTTTTTTATTGATGAAATCAAATACAATTTCGGATAATTTGATTTGTTATTTGAAATATATTAAAATAATAGATAACTATGTGAATAAATAGACGACAATTTTTTTTTTTTATTATAGATTGTATCCTAAAATTTGGAAGATAACCACGTTTTCTTAAAATACTTAAAGTTTTAACTAGCTATAAAGATGATAAAACTGAATAAATAATATATAATATTGAAAATTAAATTAAAATTGCGAAAGCATTTATTCCTTAAGAAAATATTGAAATAAATGTAAACAAAAAAACAAAATAATAAATTAATAATGTTTTTTTAATTAAAAATTAAATAAATAAATAAAAGGCAGCTTAAAAATATATAACCTTATTATATTGCGAAGAAAATAATTTTCTGAAAAAAAAAATTTGCTTTTAATTTCGAAAATAATAAAACTTAAGAGATTATCCATTTTATTATCATAGTGAATTATTAGAGTTACTCATAAGTACAATTAAAGGGGATTAAGGTTTATCAATAAATATAAATAAGCTTAAAAATATTATACACGAATAGCATTTTATAGAAATATTATTAAAAGAGGACAATTTTAATTAAGAATATTAATAAAAAAGTATGCAAAACATATATGATTATAACTAAAATTATAATGTATAAAATTTTTAGGAAGGTTTTACTATTTTGAAACCGAAAGTAAAATAAAATATTAAATATATATTTTATATATAAAATATATATATATATATATATATTTATATATATTTATATATATTTATATATATATATTTTAAAGTTAATTAATTTTATGATTGAAGTTTTATTTAATTCTTAAAAAAGTTAAGACTTTAATACTTTGTAGCATCAAATTTTTACAGATTTAGCCGATTTTGAATTTAAAAGAATAGAAAAAATTTAATAATATAATGAATCATATATTAACTATTTTTTTGGATAAGTTTTACTTTTTTTTAGTTTATATTTAAAGAAGTTAAAACTAAAAGCAAATTATAAATAAACATAAATTTTTTAATAATTTTCTAAAATAGCAGCTTTATTATGTATTTAATCAAAATATATATTAGTTTAATAATTATAAGATGAAAACTTTGACAATTTTTAAACATTTATAAAATAAATTGATTCATAATTATTATTCGAAAATCAAAATTTAATAAATTAAACATAAAAAATAGAACCGTATTTAAATAATAGTTTAAAGTATGAAAACTAAACACGTTTTAAATAATGGAAATAATTTTTGAAAAAATGCTAAAACTTAAACATAGTACAAAATATTATTAAATATGAAAGATAAGCGTTATCAGAAGCTATTATTAATGCAGAAAAAATATTTCCTTAAATTTTAAAAAATGGTTATGATTGCTTCATAAATTCAAACGAATTAATACATTAATTAATAAAATATTTACACTTTGGAATAATTAATTAAGTAAATAATATATATATATATATATATATATATATATATATTTATATATATATATATATATTTTTATTTTTATTTAATTAAAAGTGTAATTAAGATAATATGGTATTTGTTTTGAATATATTAGAATAAATATTATTAAATTAAGATAATTAATAAAAACTTGAATTTATTTAAAATCTTTTTGACTCTTTAGATTCTATGAAAATGGTTTTAGATTTGCTTTCAGATTCATAAGAAAACCATCTTACTGATAATTTATTAAATAGTCTTTTTGATTTTACTATTAAAATGTTAGAAAATGGCAATTAAAAAGTATTTTTTTTAATTTAAACTAATTTTAAAAAAAAATATAGGTTTAAAATACTATTTATTAATATTTAATAACTCATTAAAAAAGTGAAATTATTTTTTAAAAAATTTATATGCTTATTTTTGACTATATTGAATGCATTAAATTTCAAAGTAGTCTTAAATAAATATAAAATAATTCTTCTGATTAATTATAATAATAACTTAAAAATGAGAGTTTATTAGAAAGAAATTTTATATATTCATTTAAAAATATTGAAATAAATAATATTAATTAAAAATAATAATATGAAGAAAATAAAAATAATTTCGTAAACAGCGTTAATAATTTTGAGTCATTAATTTCAAACAAAAATTAATATAACGCTTCATAGTTTATGTTTAAAGAAAAAGAAGTTATTTAATAAAAAAGAGCAAATATATTTTAATAAAATCTTAGTATTCAACAACTATTACAATAATAAAAGACTAGAATTCAAGAAAACGATGATATTTATGATTTTTAATTGTAAAAAAATAAAATAGAAGACTAAAATTAAGAAATAATTAGAAAACTACTTAGGGTCCTTTAATTATTTTGCGAAAATCATAACAATAATTTATAAAACTATTTAAGATACTAAAATAATAGTAGAAACAATTTTGATATTATACAAATTGTTATAGAGGTATTTGCAAATAAAAAAAATATATTTATATATATATGTAATATTTTTTTTATTTAATTATAAATAAAAGCTTTTATTGGTTCTATATGAAAATATTTGCGATAAATATTTCCCTAATATAAAATAATGTCTAGAAACATTAATAGAATTTATACAAGGCCCTTGTAAATAAAACTAGGAATTATTAATTGATTCTAAATATTTTTAATTTGCAGAAAAGCTTTTGTAAATAAAAAATAATAATGATAATTAAAAAATATAAAAATGGATGTATGAATAATTAAAATATAAAGTAATTTTTTTTTGTATAAAAAATAAATAGACTTATATTAATTTTCTAATTAAAAATAATTATATATAAAAATATATATAATATTAAATATAAGACACTCATATTAACTAATTCTTTATTAGAATTAAACAATTCTAATTAAATTGTAAAAAGAATAATGCGTAGTTTTCCTTTATAACTATTAAAATTAAACTTAATAGATGTATATTAAAAGTATTTTAAATTAAAATAAAAGTAATATTTATTTTTATTAACAAATAATTAATTATAAGATATAAATAAATGTACGGAGATTAATATATAATTTAATGTTTTAATCATGTAAAAAAATACATATATAATAAAAAATTAACATTTTTTTTAAAAAAAAGCATGAGAGTTAGCCTTCATAAAATAGTAATGATGATATTTCTTATTATGAATGTATTCTAGAAACTGGATTTGATATTTTTTTTTTAATTAAACATTATTTAGATTTAGATAGTGAAGAATATGATTTAGAAACAAATACTTAATTAAATGAATTAAAAAGCAATTTTTCGAATTTCAAAGTTGATAATAAGAAAAAAAACATTATTTAGTAAATCTATACCTTTATACTAACTTTTGTATTTAGTATTATTGAAACTATTCATAAAATTTCATTAATTATACATAAAAAACTTGAAAATAAAGAAAATTAAAATAATGTAATATAAAAAAAAAATTGATGTTTTGCTATAAAAAAAAATTAAAGTAAAAAAATACAAATGATAAATTAATATTTTCAGAAGCGATTAATTTTTTTCTGAAAAATTCAAGACAGTAGATAAATATTTTTTTTTTTATAAATATAATATTTTTTATTAAAAATGTTTAGTGTTGAAGTAGTTATTAACAATTAAATTTATAAAACTAATTTTATTTTATTACCATTTTGTCATTATTTACCATAAAAAAACAAATAATAATTTCAAAACATTGTAAATAGAGAATCTACACATACTAAAATTTAAAGTAAAAAAATGCAAATATATACTATAGAATTAAAAATAAGGTTTAATAGAACTATCAAATAATATAATAAACATATGTAAGCATGAAGAAAAGTTATCTAATCTTTTTTAAAAAAAATAAAGTTAATATAATAAAGATAAATATAAATAAATATTAATATACATATATATATATAATTTTTATATAAATATAGATATTATCTATTTTTGCAAATTATGTTGATTTATGGAGAGATTTAGCTTTTTTGGTTAGTATTTTATTAAACTTATTAATATTGTTTTCGTACGGAGAAGGATAAAGTGAAGATCCTGAAATAAGGAAACATAATCGAATGTGGACTCCATATTTATTTAATTAGACAAAAGATGATATATAAAATACTTTATAAATTTATTAATATTTTGGAGTATGTATGATAATATTAAGTTAATTTGTTGTAATATTTTTTATGTGCAAAACAGCTCCTATTTACTTTAAAGATATATGGGAATAAAATAGGAATACATTAGAATAATAAGGTAAATCATATATAACATAAATAATAATTATAGGAAAATGTATTATCGCTTTATTATTAAATCTATAAATTATTTTTTATTTTCTTTATGGATTTCTTGCTTTTATTGCTACTTATTTTCATCCTTTTTTTTTTGCTTTTCATCTTATTGAAATTTTAATTAGATTTGAAACTTTAGCAAATATACTAAAAAGTGTTTCGGAATCTAAGCTTGCTCTTTTTTTAACCCTTGTTTTGATTATTATGATTACTTTTTTCTTTTCTATTTCTGCTTATATGCATTTTTTTCCTGATTATAATGGAAGATGTGAAAGCTTGTATTTTTTTTTTTAATTATTTTAATAAATATATACATATATATTTTTTTTCATTTTTAAGATTTATATGCTTAATAGAGACATTTGATAGAATAAAATCTGATGGAGGATTCGGAGGATGGTTAGAAAGTAACGTTTCTAATGTTTCAGATAATGGAAAAGGTTATATTTTTTTAAGTCATTTTAATTTTTTAAAAATATAAATTTATTAAGAATATAAATATGATAGATTTGTTTATGATAATATGGGAAATATTATCATAGTATTGATTATGATTTAAATTTTTGCAGGAATTATTATTGATAAATTTAGCTAATTAAGAGAAATAAATCATTTTAAAAAAAAAGATACATATGAAATTTGTTTTATTTGTGGAATTGAAAGGTTTTTATATTTTTTTTAATATATTTAAAAACCATAAATAAATAATAAAAGAGAATTATTAGAAAGATAACTGGATTAAGGATTCGAATAACATATTAAAAAAGATCATTATTTATGGAATTATATATTTTATATTGCTAATATAAATCATAAAAAGCCTACTGAATTCACAGGAATTGAAAGCTATATTTATTAAAAAATATAGGAGTAAGATAATTAATGGTTTCCAATATAAAAAACTTTGCTATTATCATAATAAAATAATTAAAAAAATGAAGAAGAAAATTTAGAAATTTTAAAATAAGAAGTAATTTTTAATTTGTCATTTTTTTAAAAATATATAAATTTTTTATTTTTTATAATAAGTCTGATATTTGTGTAAAATAAATGAAAGAACTAATTGAAAGTTAAAAGGTATTGTATGAATTGATTAGCTTATAAAATAATAAGTATTGAAAATAAATAAAAATATCTATTATATATTTATTTTGGAAATTAATTAAAATTATTGTAAATATAAATTTATAAATAAATTAATTGATATATTTATTTTATTAATAATAAAAATATAAAATATATAAATATATAATTATATTTATATATTTATTAATATTCAATAAATAAATTCCAAATATATATATAAAGAAATTAAATATGGTATAATTTTCCTTATTATTCCTTTTTTTTCTTTTTAGATTTCTTATTCACAAATAGATTTTGTAGTTAATCCAAAACGAATACTTTGTGCTTTTATTTCTTCTGTAATATTTTAAGATATATTTTGATTTTTTTCTAAAGCAACAGTTTATTATTGTATTTAGTAATACTATTTATTTTTAATATATTCAATTTTTTCTATTATATCTTCATCAATTTTTCTTTAAAATGAGACAAAAATATACTCAAGTAATATCAAAATAGGAATAAGTAAAAATTTCATCAAATTTAATCTGTAATAAATAGTTGTTTTTGGTAAAATAAAATCAATAATATCACACTATTTTTTGTATTTTTTGAAAAAATAAATATAAAATTAATTTAATATTTTATTTTTTTACAGTCCTTTTATAATTTTAAATAGCTTGAACTTCAATTATAAATGTACCAAAAATTAAAAAAAACTACCATTTAAAAACATTTATATGCTTATTCTATAGCATAATATAACTCGAAAGCAAAAGTACAACATAAATAACGCCTGATTAAAATAAATGCTTAAATTAATAATCTAAGCCAGTATATTTAAAATAATCTTCATCTTTAACATTATATTTATCATATATTTCTCTTCTTACTTTATTTTCAAGCAAATCTTTTTCTTTTTATAGTTAGATTTTAATTTTATACTGTTCTGCGTAAATTCCATGAGAATAATTTATATTTTTTATGTTTTTTTCGAATTACTCTTCTACTTCTTAGTCTTTAAAACATCTTTTTAAGTGAAACTCCTATATTAAATTAGAATCTTAGTTATATTATAATATTATAAAGTTCAAAAATATTAGAATAAAGAAATATAACGATTTCTTAAGTTTTTTATTTGTAGTCAATTTAAAGGGATTATAATATTTCTAATTTAACTTATTTACAGTATTTTATATAAGTTTGTTTAAAAATATAAAAAGAATTATATTTTAAAAAGTTTTTTCTTCAGTAAATGTAAAAAGGCTTGTTTCTTATTATTCAGACATTTTTTTGTAATTTTATTTTCTTATATAATTTATAAAATGTTCTATTATATTATAAAATATATAATTATTTTCTATTTATAAAATAATATAAATAATAAATAAAATATATTTTTTTATAAAAATAATTAAAAAAATAATTAATAAAAAATGTAATGATATTATTAAATAAAATTAAAAATTGTATAAATAAAATATATATTAATCATATTAAAAAAAAATAATAATATATATATATAAATAAATACATTTTTTTTTTATTAATATATATATATATATATATATATATATATATATATATATATATATATTTTAATTAAATAATTATTAATATTAATTTTTTATAAATTATAAATTATTAAATATATTATTTAAATAAATAGACTTTTATATTTATAATTTATATTAAATTCTTCTTTTAATTTATTATATAATTTTTTTTTAAAATAAAATATTTATTTTATTAAATATATTAAGTATAAATAAAAATTAATATAAATATATAAGATAATAACTTTACTTAAATAATGGAATCAGCATAAATTATTAAACAATATTTTAACTAGATCTAATAAGAACTAAAAGACTACAGTTTATAAGATTCTATAAAACTTACATTAAAAAAAAACTTTATAATTTCAAAAAGGCATTAATCATAATGGGTATGTGAAGAGCAACATATTCTATCATGTATTTCAAATACTGAAAAAAAGTTACAAACCGAAGAATTAAATGAAAAAATATAAAAAACAATAACTAAGGACTTTCAAATAAAATATTAACTTCATATAGGCGACTTAATATTATCTTTTGAATAAATAAATGACGTTTTTACTAATGATAATAGTTAAATATAACATAAGTAAGGTGAAGTTTTAATTATTTTAATGTGGGCAGCTTGGTGTTAAATATCAGAACAATTTATAATGAAATTTAGTGATTTATTAATGTAAAATAAAGATAAATGGATTGACAAAGTAAAATAATAATAGTTTTTAAACTTAAAATTAATAAATAGGTAAGAATGATAGCATTAAGTATTGATGAATCTAAAGAAACAATAATAAGTAAAGTTAAAAGTAAGAATTTATAAAATATGTAACATTTAAAGGTAATAATAATAATGATAATAATATTAATAAAAAAAAAAAAAAAAAGTTAAATGGCTGGGATAAAGAACATGACTTAGTTAAACTTTTTTAAATATAAGCTATTCCTTATTTAATTGTATGTGATAAAAACGGAAGAATAAATTATGTAGGACATCCTTAATTATTTAATTTTGAATAAAGAGTAAATGAATTAATATAAATTAATCAAGAAAAAGAATATTAAACCTAAAAACAAGATGAAGACAAATAATTAACTGATAAAGAAAATTTCAAATAATCCAAAAAATATTTAAAAGAAGAATTTTTCCCATTATCTTTATCTAAATATGTTGATTTTAAAGGTAAATTTGGAATAATAATGCTAAAAGAAACTATTTTTTGGAAAAATTAAACTTAAAAAAATACTATAAACCAATAACTGATTTCATAATAGATATAAAATAAGAAGCTCAAACAAAAGAACTTCTTGAAAATCTTAAAAATAAAATAGGAAAAGAACATATGTTTGTAGGAATTTCAAATATATAAGATAGAAAAAAAGAAATATATACACATTTAAAAGATTTAAGTAAATAAATAAATAAACCAAAATATAAATATATTATTTATTTCAAATTCAAATAACAAATAAATAGGTTAAATCTTAAACGATATTTAAATAAAAAACTTTTACTTTTCTTTTCATAAAAATCTTAATTTAACACTTTAAAAAAATAAATAAGTACATAAATTTACTTTTGAAGAACTTGGACAGTTTGGCGAAATGCTCCCTTAAGAAATAACTTTTGAAAACTTATAAAAAGCTAGATCAAGATTTCGTTTTTATGGAGACGCATTATTTAAATAAAAAAAAAAATTTGATATTGTTAAAAAATTACTTGCTAATGGACCTGCTGTTTCTCTTAAAGGAACTAAATTTTTAGAAATGCCCGATATGATTAAATTTAATAATAATTAATAGGTAGATACTTTACTTGTTCATTAAAAAAACAAAGTACTTATTATTGATTTCTTCCTTTATAAGTAATTTTTTTATTTTATTTTTTTTTAATAAAAATAGTAAAAATATCTAAAAAAAAAATTCAAAATAAAAAAATATTTAAAAATAAAAAAAGAAATTAAATAAAATAAAATAAAATTAAATTATAAAAATATATAAAAAAAAAAATAGATTTAAGCATTGTGTGGAATAACTTAATTTATATAAATAAATGTTTGAATAAAATAAGGAAAAATGGAATAATTAAATATAACTTGTTATTATTTCACTTGATTAAAAAAACGAAAAATTTATGAGTTTGTATAATTAAAATGAATGGAATATATTTGACTTTTATTTTTTCAAATAAGATTTACGATATAGAAGCGAATTTGCACATTATAGAATATAAGTTTTATATATTTTTAAAAATATTTATGTTATTTTATGTTATATATTTATATAAATATAAAGAATATGCCTCATATTTGTATTGTTGATAAATTCGGATTTATTCATTACAATGGAGAATTGAAAAATATTAAATTATAAAATGAAATTAACGAACTCTTAAAAAGTAGTTAAATTACTCAAAGAGAAACTAAAAATTAAGAAAATTAGGTTGAATATTAAAAAAATTATAAAGAAGTGAAAAAAATAATTCAAAATTTTAATAATATTGATTATTTTAAACCATTATTTAATCTTTCTTATGACCCTGTTTTTACTATAGATGTAAATTTTATTTTATTTTATTTTTTTTAATAGTTTTTATATAGATTGTTAAAGAAATTGCTTTCGATACCCATTAGAAGGCTGTTGAAACAATATTCAAAAAGCCTAAAATTAACATAGGAATAAAAAAAGAAAATTAAGATATAATAGATAATATTTTTAATAATTTTGATAAAAACTTGTTTAGTATATAAGTTGATTATATATGAAAAAAAAAAAAAAAAAAATTATTTGATTATTATTTAAAATTAATTTTTAATTAAAAACAAGTTTTATAAAAAAAAAAATTAAATAAATATTTTCAATAATTTTACAATAAAATTAATATAAATAAATTATTATATTTATAATTAAGAAAAAAACTTTAAAAAAATTATTTAAATTTAATATTATTGTAAGTTTTTATTTAATATATATTTATACAAAAGAAATAAAAATATTATGAATAGAATAATAAAACCTTTATAAAAAATAATTTAAATAAAGGCGGATGAAATAAATAGTATGTATATAGAATAAAATACATATATATTGTTAAATATAAAAAAAATATCTATAAATTAAATGATGTTTGTGATAAAAAAGTAGAAATAAAAGATATATAAAAAACAAAATGTATGCACAAAGTATAAAAAGTATAAATATAAAATATACTTTTTGTATGTATTTTATAATAAAAATAATAAAGCTCAGCAAATTTTTATGCAAAAAAAAAAAATTAAAATATAATAATATATATATTATAAAAAAGAAAGAAAAAAATAATAAATATATATATATATATATAAATATATATATATATATATTTCTTTTTATTTTATATATCTATCCAAATAAAAAATTTTAATAATATTTTTTCTTTATATTATTATCATTATAATTTTACTTTATATCTTTTTATTAATTATATATTTTAAATAAATATTTTATTAATATTTTTAATTTTTTTTATATTTATATTATATTTTTTTTATAACTAAATATATTTTAACTAACCCAATTTTTTTTTTACTAAAATCAATATTTTTAATCTATTAAATTTTATCATATGTAAGCTTTAACAAAGTAAAAATAACTTTATATTTATTTTTAACTACAAATAATAAAAATAACATTAAAATACTATTATTATTTAATATAACACAAACATTTATCTATATTTCATAATTTTTATTTTTTATAAAAAATAAATCTTGTTTTTTATTTAATCTTTTATTAATTTTTATTTTAATATTTAATATATTTTATATAATACTAATTTAATTATTTAATGTTTTTAATCTATTTAAAATGTCTTTAAACCTTAATTTTAACTAATATTTTAATATAATTTTAACCTATAAATTTTTTTTACTATAAATTTATTTTTAAATTCATTTAAATATAATAATTATTATATTATCCATATATATTTTGTGTAGATTATATATTTTAATAAATATGATGCCCTTTATAATCTTATTTATTTTCCTAAAAATATTTTTATAAGTAATTTATTATTAAAAGTTCTTTATTAATATATATCACTATTTAATATTTATTTTAATTTTTTTTAATAATGTTATGATTAAATCTTTTTTTAGATATATATTTTATTCTTTTGTTTATTTACAATTGAGTTTTTATAATTTTTTTCAATAAAATCATCAAATAAATATTTTTCATAATATTAATTTTCTGATATGCTTTATATCTGATTTGATTTTATAATTTATTTTGTATTTTAATCAGGCCTAATTTTAAATCTAAAGCTATATAAAATTTTACATTTTTACTTTTTTCTTGTACGAAATTGCTATTTTATATTTAATTGATAGTTTATATTTTTAATAATTATAGATACTTTTATTAATAATTTTTTTGAGAATTATTATTATTTATTGCAATATATTTTTTTTTTTAATTTATAAAAAAAATATAAATATATTTTAAACTAATATATTTTATATTTTAATATCTAAATACAAAATAAATTTCTAAAAAATAAATTTAGTATATATAAATAAATAAATAATAATAATAAAAATAAATATATATATTATATATATATATATATATATTTTAAAAATTATATTAGTCATTAAAGTAAAAAAAATCAAAAATAAAAAAAATGTTTTCTTGGTTTAAAAAAATAAAATAAAAAAAGAATAAATAAAGTAATTTAAATATATAAGATAATATTAAAAACAAAAAGACATAAAAGAAAAAAATAATTAGACCCAATAAATTAACAAGAATATAAAATATAAAATGGATAATAATAATAAAAAATGATGAAGGAAGAAGATGTAAAAAATTATAATAAATACATATATCTATATGTATTTAAATATATCTATATGTATTTAAATATATATAAAGATTTGGATATATGAAAGTATTTTATAATTTTTAACTTCTCCGGTTTTTAAATCACCTCTAAAACAATTTATAGATACTAAGTGTATTTTTTTTGAAAATAAGAATCAAATTTCTTAATTACATAAAGATACACATTAAGAATATTAACAATAAATAGAAATGCTTTTATTTTCATTATCTTAAGATATAGAAGTAGAAATAGAAAAAATTTTCCATTTATGTTAATAGGCATTAAATTATGAGAATTAAAAATAATACCTTTTTTAAGTAAAAATATATTATCATTTTGATGAGTTTATTAATGTTATGATCAAACAAAATTAATATTTAAATGAATAAGTATAATAAATACAATATAATGAAAATTATAGTCAATAAATATAATTATTAAATAATGAAAACGAATAAGATTTATAATTTGATGAAGATTATTAACTTAAGAAAGCTTTATAAGCTTCGGTAAATGAAACACAAAATCAATAAAATAAGTAAGAAAAAGTAATTTTTATTATTTATAAAAAATTTTAAAAACTTAAATGTAAAAAACAAACCAAAAAAAAGGATTTCGAAGATTAAATGAAAAAAGCCATTGAACTATCAATAAATATATAAGACGATAATATTAATTAAGGAAAAAACATTGAAAATAATAGTAGTCAAAAAATACAAATGAATAAGCTTCCTTAAAAAAAAAACAATTTAAGTGATGATGATAATTCTTTTTAAGATGAGGATGATGAAGAAAATTAATATATTTAAAAAAATAAAAATATACAATAAATATATAAATACTAAAATAAAAATGATTAGAAAGATTAGAAAGAAGAAAATTTAGAATAAAAATAAGAAAGAATTAGATAATAAAGAGAACGACTTTTGGAAAAAAAGAAGAGAGTAAAGAAATTAAGAATTAGATAAATATGCTAAAGAAAAGGAATAGGAATTTCTTTAAAATTTGGATGAAAATTATGATGATACTTAGGTTTTTTAATATATAAATATATATTTTTATATTATATATTAGAGTTAAATAGAAATAAAAAAAAAGAAAAACTTTCTTGAATAAATAAAATAAAATATGAATTCAATGAAATGATTTTTATTTATAAAGTTTTAAAGAATTTAATTATTTAATAATAATAATTAAATTTTTATATATATATATATATATATTTATATTCTATATATATTATTATTTCTTATTCTTATTTTTATTTGAATTTGTATTTTATATAAAGAATATATTATTAATTTATTCTATTTATTAAAAAAACATAATATTTATGTTATCTGTTTATTAAAATTTAATATTGTTTAATTTATTAAATTTTATTTTATATTAAAAAATTATTATAAGTAATTTAATTATAAAATATTTATTATAATAATAATAAAATAATAAATATTTCAATATAAATGACTTCAACTTAAACGCAATAATCATCAAACTTTAATTTCTCAGCAAAACCATAATTATCAGGTTATAATTGTATATACAATAACTCCAAATAATTACAAAGGTAAAAAAAAAGAAAAAAAAAAAGTATTTATTTATAAAATAATTAAGTTCCAATCTATTTAATTAAGTAGCCTAAAAAATAAAAATAAAAAAAATATACTATATATAATAAGCCAATAATAATAAATAAAGGCAAATGAAGATTTTATGGAAAGCATAATATAAAAATATGTTATAAATAATAAATACGAAGAAATAACAGATATTCCATTAGTAGACGAAAAAGAAATATAACCAGATTATTATTAGGATAAAGCTGTATTTAAAATAAAAAAAAAAATTAAAAAAAAATTAAAATAAATTAAAAATAAAAAGCCAACCCCAGAATTCAAACCAAAAGAAAAAGGAAAAGAAGTTTTTACTTAAATAGAAGATAATGAATTATTTGATTTTATTTTGGAAGTAGAACCTGTGTTATAAGTACTTGTGGGAAAAAGTGTAGGCTAAGCTATAATGGAGTTAATGGAAGAATTCGAAATGGCAGAATCTTAAAAAACTAAAATGATGATTTAAATGAGAAAAAATGCCGAATTAATGGTTGTTTAAAGAATGGATGCTGCTTATTAAAGAAGATAATAAGAAATTGTAAAAATAAATAAAAATATATAATAAAAAAATTAAAATAGTATAGAAGAAATAAATAACATAGTATTAATAAAGAATAAAATAAATTAATACATAAAAGACTTTTAAGTAGATAAATAGTCAAGCGTACAATGTTTGATTCCAAATAAAATTGCTTAAATGATTTAGAAAATTTAGGGTTTTTAAAAGATTTAAAAGAAAATAAATTTTAGGTTCATTTTATTCCTATTATTGTTGAAAATATTATTGATTGTCTAAAATCTAATTAAGAAGAGAAAAATTATTTAGATGTTTTTTTGAATAAAATAGAGAAAAATGCTTAAGATTTTCATAGTAAATATATTTAGATTGAAAAATAAAGAAAGTAGAATATTTTAAATTAAAGAGAAGAAAATAGAATAGTATAATATTTATATGCATATATATATATATAAAAAATAAGTATATAAATATTTATTTATTAATTATAATTTAAAAGTAAAGAGAAATAAGGAAAAAAAAGAAACTTGAATTCAAAAGAAAAACACTTATAAATTAAGAAAGATAAAAAATCTAAAGTATTTTTTTATTAATTTATTTTTTTAAAAATAAAAATAAAGTTTAACTGCTAGAAAATATAATTAAAAAATAGGAAAAAGTCGATAATATTTTAAATACAGAAATAACTGATATTATAGGAGTTAATAAAAATGTTCATATAAGTAAAAAAAAAAGAAATTGCATATATATTTATATTTAAATAAAGTTTCTTTGTTTGGTGGTTTAGTTGGTTAAATATGGTTATGTTTAGAAGCATTTAATTAATAATTAAATGATTAAATATAAGATATAAATGTAATATGTTTTTAAACAAAATTATAAATTTATTTTAAAAATAGATTATCAATATAATTAAACCTTTAATTTTAAATTCTAAAAATGGAATAAACATAATATTAAATGAAAAAGAAAAATGTTTTTATGAAAAAGAAGTTAATGATTTTATAGGAAAACAAGAAAATATAAATTAAGAAAGAGACATTTTTATCCAAAATTTATTAGAAAATGAAAATCTTTATATAAAAAATTATAGTTTAAATTTTATAATTGAAAAATATTTGAATTAACTTGAATAAAAATTAAATTTGAAAAAAATATTTAAGTTTATATTCTAATGTTTATCTTATGCAATAAAACCAGAAAATAATCATGAAAATTTTTTAAAAAAAATAAATATTTAATTCGAAGATACTGAAAATTATTTAAAAGAAAAAATAAATATCATTTTAAATGTAAGAATACCTTTTAATTCAAAAGAAGAAGAAGAAGAAGTAGAATAAATAAAATTATAAGAAAATTAAGAAGATATACAAAAAAATAAAGATAAATATGATCAATTTGTTGATATTTTTGATGGATAAGGATATTTGATAAGTTTATAATAAAAAATTAAAAATAATTAAAAAAGTAAAAATTATCTTACTTTTATTTAATTTTTATAATAAAACATAAAATACAGGAAATGATTTAAATTATGAATTACCTATTAGTTTTAATATTCAAGTTTTCGAAGATAAAAAAATAATGCTATGTGATGAAAGAAGTGCATTTTTATTATAGAGAATATTATTTTAAATTATTAAAGAGAGAGGAAATCCGTAATTTTAATAAGTTGAATATGAAAATTTTAAGGAGTTTTTATATTAATTTAATGATATTTTTAATAATTAGTTTTTAGATGGTATTTTCGGAAATGAAAATAAAATTCTTGTATTTGATTATGAAATGAAATGAAGAATCTATTTTATATTTAAATTTCTATTATATAAAAATGAATTATTAACAATTCTATATTTATTTTTTACTTTTTATAAAACAATTTTTATTTTTCAGTAATTTAAGAAATTATTATATCATTAAATATTTTTTAAAAATATATTTATTTACCATTTATAAAAAATATACACTAGAAGAATTATTTTTCCAAATATTATTTTTTTCGTATTTTTTAGTCTATTTTTTTAGTGAATTTAATCATTTACTTTTAGGCTTAAGCCCTCTTTTTAATTATAAAAACTTTGCATTTTTTTATTATTTTCCTATAAGAATTAGTCAAGTAAATAATAATAAAGCAACTTTTTGTAGATAAATAAGCGAGAATTATTACATTTTATCTTATGTAAATTATGAATGTTTAAAAAAATATTTCTTTTATACTTTTTATTTTATTTTATTTTTCCTTTACTTTTTGCCTGAATTTTATTTTTTGACTTAACTTTTAATATATAAAAACAATAAGCATCAATACTAAATATGATTTTCTATATGAAGAATATAAATAATGGCATTAATATTGGAAATTCGTTAAAATTATATAGAAAATAGCTATTATATTATTCATTAATTATTTTAATTAAGATGTCAAAAATAAAGGAAGTAACATTTTTTTCATTATTTTAGGATCTTCGACTGTTTTAATTGTTGTTAAACCTTATGAAATTTCCTTTTTTAATTAAATTAATTATATTCATCTTTTTTTTGAGCTTTTTAAGTGCAATTTTGGCAGTTATGGCGCATAAAAATGAAATCGAATATATAGTTCTTATTTTGATCTATTGTTATATTAGGAATTATTTTTTACTTTAGTGGGCATTTTATTAAGTAAGATTATTAAAATTATATATTTATGGCTATATAGCAAATGAAAAATATAATTTTTAAAAGAAAAATAATTCAAAAAAATTACAGAAATTGGGAAAAATGCAAGAGAAACAAAATTTTTGTGTTTTTTAAAAAGTTAAAAAGAATATTTTAATATGTTAAAATATATTTAAAATTTAAAAAAAATACAATTATATTAGTAATAATAATAATGATAAAAAATATTAAAAATAATTTGTAAACTAAGTATAATACTAATTATAATAATATTTCAATGTCATTTATTAAAATAAATGACAATAAATAGTTTAATTGGCTTCAAAATAAAAAAAATATTTATTTTATTTATTTTATATATAAAAAGAATTAAAATATCTTAAATAAAAAAAAGGTTTTTTTAAATTAAATAATAAAGTTTTAATTAGTATTTTTTTATTTGATTTTTAGATAAAAATTTTAAAATTCTTAATTTTTTATTTTATTTAATGAAAAAAAAAAAAAATCATTTTAAATTTTAAATTTTAAATTTATTTTTTTTAAATAAAAAAAAATATTCATATTTATATATTTTTTACTAATACATGTGTTAATTTGGAGAAAATTTATAATTTAATAATGATTAAATAGCTTTATCCATTTTTTAGAAAATATAATATAATTAGACAGAAATTTAATAATTAAATGATGAATAGAAAAAATAAATATTTTCTTATAAATAAGTATATGAAGTTAAAAATAAAGATATATAAAAATAAAGATTTGCTGAAAATACACTTATTTCTAAAAATTATGAAAAAGCCTTAAAAGAAAATATGCATAAATTATAATGGTTATTTGATATTGAGTAAAATTGAAAAAAATAAAAATACAATTAAATATTTAGTTTTCGATATTTAAATATAAAAAAAATTTTTAAAAAAAATTATTTAAAATAAAAATAATAATAATAGAAAATTTAGAAAATATAATATATATATAATTAATATATATATATTTATATTATTTACATATTATGAAATATTTAATTATAATTAACATATTAAATATAAATGTTTTTTTTAAAAATTACGAAAATAATGATTATAACACAAAATAATTTTATATAATTTTTTGTTACAATTATATTTTAAAATTTAAATATAAACTATGCATAGTAAAAATAAAAAATAAATTTTGTCCACACAAATAAATAAATATAAATTATATAAATAAATTTAATTTTTTTTTTTTAAAAAAAATAAAAATTCATATAAAAAAAACTCTTTTAAAAAAAAATTAAAATATAAATATCTACTTATTAGAATTTTTTTTATTATAGTGTCAATTAAAAGCATTTTTTTTAGTAGTAAGTAATTAAAAAGGACTTATTATCAGATTTTCTTTTTAATTTTTTAGTACATAAATTATTATATAAAAATATCATTATATTTAAGATAAATATTCAATAATTTTTTGTCAAGCAAAATTCAGATATAGAACTATTTTTTTAAAAAAAAGATAAATAAACATTATAAAATAAAAAAAAATATTAATAAAAAGAAAACTTAATAAAAATAAAAATATTTCTATAAATTTATTATTTTTGTTTGAATTAATAAAAAAAATATGAAAACTTTACCTTTTTTTATAGCTACTTTTATTACTACTTAATTATAATTCTAGTTAAATATCTTCTATTTCATATTTACTAAATTCATCTTCTAAGAATTTTCTTTTAATTTTAGGCGCATTAATCAAGTAATTAACTTCAGATTCTGAATTATTTTTAGGAGTTAGATAGCCTGATTCCAGCTCAGGAGCTGCGCTTTGAAAATTTTAGCATTTTCCGTTATTAAAAGAAGTAGTTTTTTATTCTAAATCACAATATTAATCGACATTAATATTATTAGAAAAAAATTAGAATTGCATTTTTTTATTTTTAAATATATTATTATTATTAATATATATATATATATATTTAATTAAAAAAAATAATGTTGAATATAAATCAATAAAATAAAAAAAAATTATAATAAAGTAAATTAATTTTATAATGCTATTTATCTATAACTAAAATTAAAAAATGTTTTTTTTAAAAAAAAAGATATCTTGATTAAGTAATTAAAAAATAAAAATATCTATTTTAATTTTTTATTAATTAAAAGGAGCATTTTTTAAAAGAACTAATTAATGTATTTAAATTTAATAATTTAATTGTCGAATAATTTTTTTTCTTTTTCAAATTTTTAATAATTAGCAAAAATTTAAGTACAAAAAAACAAACAATAAATAATGACAATATTTTTATTTTTGGAAATTTAATAGAGAAAAAATATTATAATTATATCAAATAAAATAAATTATTTTTATAAAAATTAAAATTAATTATTTATATTTATAGATAATTATAACATAATAATTTTTCTTTCTTTCTTTCTTTATTTTTTCATTCTTTATCATATTATATATAATATTTAATTTTTTCTTTTATAAGCAAATAAAAATTTAAAAGAAAATATATTATTAAAATATAATAAATATACTCTTTTAAAATAATAAAATTTTAATATGTTAAATTATAATGATACCATTATTTATTATATTTTATTTTAATCTTCACCTTCTATTAGCACAATTTTTAAATATCTAATTTATAGTTCTTTTATGTTATAAGTATATTTTTATATAATTTAAATTATAATTATAATAATTTATTCAATTAAATAAAATGTATAAGTCAATTTCCTTAACTTAAAAAATTAGATTATAATAAATATTAAAA